TAGGTGGCAAGTCACGTGCCTGGTGCTCCCTTTTAATCCCTGTATCTCCTGAATCGCATCAGCGATTGGGTTAAAAGGTTGTAGATGTAATTGTAGCTACAAAAGAAAGTGTTATAGACAAAACTGTCTTGTGATGATGATGTTATCAACTGACAAGTCACGTGACATTAAAGGCGCATCATCCTTTAAAGCCGTATAAACATGTATCTTCTGAAGTACCGGTGCAATTGAATTGAAACCTGGCAGATAGCTACAAAGGAACGTGTCTCAGATGAAAATATAGATCTCAGGTGATGGCGACGTCATAAGGTGACAAGTCTTTTAACATTAAAGATGCACTCTTAAAAGCACTACATGTATATCTAAGTTCTAAGTACATTGGTTGAAACCCTGCAGGTGGCTAAAAATGACGACGTGTTTAAAAGCTTACACTTCAAGGTTGTTTGATTTAAATCAAACGATTTCAATCATTAATTTAAATTACTTGAAAAAATTAAATCGTGTTCAAGAAACCTTAAATTCTTTTGGGTATTTGAAAGAAAGAAATGGATAAATTTAATATACTGCTGCCTTTAACCATTTCCATACCACCAGAATTCAGTCATTTCGTGTATAATGTTTCTCTTTACACTTATTCGACGTGTATATGTACATGTGCACCTGATATACATGTACATGTACACCACTCTCCATTTCGTATGACTGCATGTACATGTATTTATGGAATTCAATAGCCATTATCATAAAATTGGAACACCAAGATGTGTACTTGTTCAATAAAGTCTCTGGAAATGTTATACATAAGGCATTTCATGTGCAAGTAAAGGAGTGTTATCTCAAAAAAAGGAAAGACACTGATCTTTAATCACCTTGTTTTATTAATGAAATTTGCATAAACAGTTATTTATATCAAGAGTTTGTGTGTATTTCAGCAAACAGGTTTTTGGACTTAGAAAACTTTTGTGTTTGATTAGAAATAAACAGTTCAACATATGATAAACTTTACCCCATCAGTCGGCAGGGAGTTCTTTAGTCATCACATGGTATTTCATGTCTTGAACTGTAGCACCTTCATCGAGGTTACATCAACGAACTACCCTTATGCATCGATGGTCCTAAAAACAATGACGTGATCATGACATCATCAATCGATTTATTATTGACTATTCAATATTTATTTCATCCCGTTGAGTTTGTACACGTTTTTAAGGCACCATTTTGGTAGCTAAGAGATTTTCAATTGTCATCACTTGAAACTTGCAGCCAACAAAGACCTGATGCAAAAATGATGCCACAGTTATGATGTCATAATGACGTCACCATTTGATTTTTGGGGGATTTTATAATATTAAGTTTTTCCTATTGGTTTTGTACACTTCTTCAACAGCCAGATTTCAGCACTCTGTTCAAGGTGATTAACTTCGCATGGGCTTACCTCTAAGTCCATCACATGCAGAGGGTCTCAGAACAGTACTGTCATAATGTCATCATCAGGGGTCACGTGACACTAGATTAAAGTAGCACTTTTTTCCACAGGGTTTGTACACGTTTTTCTACTGCTATTGATATTAATGACTAGGTGGCTTTCCGCCCACTTCGGTTGAGGATTACTATGAGAACGAAAGTGAAATCGCATTTTTCTCTCTCCATTCGATTACAAAGATATCCAAGTGTAATGACAGGCCATCTATTAAGGTCCACTTAAATTATTAGTTTAAGGACGCCAAGGCAAAGGAAGACGGGCAGATAGATTCCAAATTTAACTTTCTCAATTCAAATATCCAGGTATGATTACAACTAATTACAATTCAAATCCTTTATTCCTAAAATTCCTATGATTCCCCCAAATCCTCAAATTCCCCGAATACCGTGACTGGGCCGGTATGCGACCGTGCACTAGGCCTTCCCAGAGAGCACCTAATAATGAATAGTGTGTGGAGTAAAGATCGAAACCCTAGTGTAAATCATACGAGTCGCCACACAAACAGCTGAAACACAATGTAGAGTGAACATGACAATATCACATTACGCTTCACGTAAAACTTTCAAATCAAGACTGTGAATTTTCACTCCAAAATCACTCATTCCGCGTTCTTCTATGACCCAAATAATCATCAAGTCCGGTCAAACACTATGGAATCATAGATTAAGAGGGGAAAAGACCACAAATCAGCTATTACAGTGCGAAAAGCTAGTTTTCATGGTAACAGGTTAATCCCAAGATACTCACTCAGCGGTGCCCACACTGGAAAGGATTATAAGCACGCCCACAGCACTTCCTTCGCGGGAATTTGTTATACATTTCTAACGGGCTGAGCGGCGTGCCAAATAAACTATGGTGCCCCCTAAATCACGCTTCCCTACACAAGAATCAAAATAATATTTGGTTAAATATTTTCGGTTCAAACGCAAATCATCTAAACTTGGAGTGCGCCTCAGAAGGCTGCCTCGCAGTTCGACGCAGTCTAAAAGTACTTCTTGTGTGCCTCTTGATCATCGTATCGGTTTATTACTTGATGAGTCGTTGTCGAACCTGTAGGACAGACTTGACGCCTGTGAAGGCACCGCTTTTGTGGGTTTTTCTTACGAGAGTGTTTCAGGGATTCCAGTTACTGACAGCGGAGCCATGTCAGCCATTTTGTCATTGTGGTGACTGCCCCTGAACAAAGGCTGCAGATGAACCAATGCAAGGTACACTGAAGGAGGAACAGTAACAACACCCACACGAATGTTGGTCGTAAAGGTACACACACTTGTCACGCTGTTAAAATGGCAACACATATCCGAACGCTTGCCAACTTAGACCCTTGCGACCCACTAGTTACTGAAATCTCCTGTCTTTTGTTCCAATATGTGTGCTACATCTAACATTTTACTTGTTTGTTTTGGTGATATTAAACCCAACCCTGGACCAAGTCAATGATGTTTCAGAATTCCAACTGTAATAGTTCCCAAATCATCGTATGCACTGTAGTTGTTCTAAGCTTTTGGAAATTGCTACTTCAACCCTCAAACCCACCATACCAGGAAATATATGGAATTTCTCAAAGGAACTGCACCTAATTCGTAACCCCCAGGTTGCCGGGCAGGCCTCCCTTGCAGAGGTCAAAGGGGCGTTAATCATAGTAACCTGATCCACGTCAACGTGTCCCACCCAAAGCTCACTGTTGCCTACAATTTGCCATTTTTTTTTCTGTGCAACGCAAGATCTGCGTACAACAAAGCTGAATTATCCATCATCGTTCTCGTCTACTCTTGATGTTTGTAAAATTAATTTAAGTGACATATGAATCTTAACGTTTGGTATTTAATTTTTTTATAATTTGTTTCGTAAATGGTTTTTGATATTCGTTTTGTGTTTTATTATTTAAATTTGTAATAAGAAAATGATTTTGGCTCATAATTGGTTACTTGTGCTAATATTAACTTTTGGCCGCCCATACATAGCCGGTAATCGAACATTCTGACTTTACTATCCAGTGTCTGTGTTTTACAAACATCCTTACAACGGCCTTTAACAGAGATTTCCCCACGATCATTTTATGTTTGTGGGATTGGAATCCCCGATACGTGACAAACAAAAGGTTTTTCATCGCGATGATAGACCTACTTGGACTCTAATGGTAGTTTTATGCATCCGATTGATTTGATACTTAGCAGACCTTTATATCATCAATAAAGTGGTCCTAGCAGTAAATCGTAGTAATGCACCGCTTGAATCCCTACATTCCCTGAACTACGTGAGTGATTGTTAAACGGAAGTTTTGTAGACGAACATTATCATCGTGATAATAACGTCAACTGACAAGTTGCGAAACATTAAACGTGCATCCTTTAACCCATATACCTCCTGAAGTGCTTGTCAGATCCTGTTGAAACTTGGCAGATAGCTAAAGAGGGGAGTGTTATATATAAAAATTGACTTCAAGTTATGATGATACAATTATCAGATGACAAGTCATCTGACATTAAAGGTGCACCCTTAAAAGCACTATTTTCAGTACGTATCCGATTGGGTTCAAACCTTGCAGTTGGCTGGAAACAATCAACAACAATCTGAAACAGGTCTGCGGCTGTTCATATCATCACAACCATATCGCTATTTTTTCTTCCTTTTTAAGTAGGCGATACAAGTGAAAGGTGGATAGCTAGTACCTGTAGCGCTTAGTATGAGTGTGCAGGAATCAATCAATAGGGAATAGCCTGAAGATATTGTCAGTAAACTGCATTCACAACCAAGACGTCAAGCAGAAAACTTCTCTTGTCATGCAAAGTATTGCTTTCAGCGTTTATATTTACCAAGTTTCTGTTATTGTCAGTGCCGTGCCAGTCCGTACGGCAATACATTTGTATGGCTGCTCAGGCGTACATTCCAGTTGGGATCTGTAAAATAATCGACGTCGTGTAAGTTAAACAGCAAACATGACAATAATGCATGGAAATTCCGAGAGTGTACAGTACGTGCAAGAACGCACGGGGACATTTAAAATCTGAAAGAAAAAACAAGAAAGCTTGAAATAGGTCAGGTTAACTTGGATATTAAATAATCTTCGATATATACCACTGAATAATCCTTTCTCTCTCTCTCTCTCTCTCTCTCTCTCTCTCTCTCTCTCTCTCTCTCTCTCTCAAAACCTATATTTTCTGGTTAGTCACCTCTCAGGACGAAACCTGATAAAAAGAGGAAACTTGGTGAGCAGTTTGTTGAGGGGAGAGGATTCTCTCATCTTTACAAATTTCCACAGTTCCAACATCAAATATCAATTTTTTCTTAGCTCAGAGGAATGAGAAATTAGCGATATGTTACCTCTCTTCATTGTTTCTCGCTGTAAAAAGAATAAAACGAGTCATAACTACATTTTATGAGAGAGTCATGTGAACCTCACGTGCATCAAAGCACAATGCTGGGAGACAAACTAATCCTCAAAGTACATAAAGTGAAAGCTGAAAATTACGTAATCAAAAAACTTAAAGGGATAATAGTACATTGAGGCCAGTTGGTGGTATAAAGACGGTCCCTTGATAGATTCACAAGTACACCAACCAACCCACCACAGATTCACTTGTCAGTTGAGCAGCGGTGGGAGAGAAAGCTTTGGCAGCGTGCACTAGTTTGGTCTCTCAGAATTTCGGCACAAATTTTGTCTACAGACATGGGTTTGAAATCGGTTGCGTTCGTGTTGCTTGTGGTTGTAGCAGCAAGCTATGCCAAGTCGTTGGCTAATATCAAGCCCTGTTGCTACCCAGACAAGTATGAGATCTCTTCAGGTATGTAAGTGAGTGGTTATTTTCACATCCTTGCTATCATCTACTGATATCAACTTGTTGCAATATCGTCGAAATCTCTTCTGAATGATAATCTATGACAAATACTACAGTGGAAGAAATATCTTCGGGATTCTTGACCTGAAATTTTTGGGGGAAAGAGATCCCACATGCGGACGCCACTTGACATCTCGTGCATGAACCCTTGAGTCTTGAGTGGATATATTCTTATCCAGCAAATTGTAGCTATACTAGGATGGTGCAGACTTGTCTGAAAAATTCTAAGGGTTTTTTGAGGAAACGACTTGGTATTTTCCCTCCGAAATTGAACTTTTCTGGACATGACGGTTTTGCTTTGTGATGACTAATAGGTCACTGTAGGAAATAATTCCTCACATCTGTATAATGAAACTCTTTCCAACAGCGTGACAAAGCAATACTTTTGTTGCAATTCATTTGAATATCCTAAACATGTAGGCCTAGTTACTCTGCTTGAATTCAGACAGGGGTCTTTGCGTTGGTGGTTGCCATGGTCTTGTGATGGTCTTAAAGGCTCAATCTCGACTGCAGAACTGCCTTTATAGTTGAGCGTTACTCAACTAAAAAGGGGGAAAAAACAAATTATTTTCTTAGGAAACAGAATTTTTCACACCCTATGTTTGTGCACAGGGTGTCAAGTGGCGTCTGCATGTGGAACGCTTTCCCAGCTTGCAAACAAACCTCCCATTTTCTCTTACGTAATCCGTCTCTGCGCGCACGGCAAATTGTGATGACTCCCTCAATTATTGCACAAGGCGTGGTCAGGCTTGAGTAACACATAAGCTGATTGGACAATCCGTTGCGCCTGTGAAAGGAACAATAGAAAGAGTAGCCAATGAGCCGACGCATATGAAATGATCAAAGCAAGCAAAAGACCACTTGGCTCAGTGGATCCTGACTGGATTGCGTCAGACTAAATAATATGCAAGCCTCTACAACTGTTTGCAAATTTAAACAAATGTTTCGAAATGGATCACAAACAATCCGACCATTTCGTGGGTGCCGCGAACTTTCTGCAAGGCGTTGGATGTGTAATCTTAATCGTTTTCAGACCGAGTTATACCCTGACAAATTCTCATTTGGAAAATTGTAGAACCGAAGATGGTGGTTCTAGTTCTTGTTCATTAAATCATTTCTCAGTGAAACAACTATGCTTTTTTATATTTGTAGTTCATACTTTCATGAACGTCTCACAAAAGACAGTAAAGAAATAGAAGAGGAAAAACAATGAACTCCCGTAGGGTGTTTTGGAGATGTGGTTGTAATACACGTTTGATTGCAGGATGCCTGCATTTGAGATGCACCGCAACCAAACAAATCTACGAAAGCCCCGGAGTACCATCAGGTATTATATTTTCAGAAGTGAAGTATATTTTTCGAAGTCCGTTTGTAGGAGACATATTTTCATTCGTTTGTACGAGATATATTTTTGCAAAGTTTGTTTGTTCGATACATCCATTTTCTAGTTCGTTCTAATGAAATCTATGTTTAGAGACATCGTTTCATTTTTTCGGAAACAAATCATATTTACGAGATATATTTTGAGGAAGTTTGTTTTTGATATATTTTTTCCAAGTGAATTTTCAGGAGATAGAAATTGTCAGGTTTGGATTTATTTTTCACAAAAAAATTCAAAAAAATCTCATAAAAACGAACTAAAACCTAAAATGAACTTCAAAAAGATGTCTCATAAAAAAGATTTGTTTCCAAAAAATAGAAACGACGTTTCTGTTTATAGATCTTACGGGAATGAACAGGAGAATATATAAATATCGAACAAACGAACTTGCGAAAAAGGTATCTCATGAAAATGAACTTGGAAAAAAATGCACTTCAAGAGTCACAAGAGTCACAAATCCTCCAATTTCAATCTGTAAATAATTTTACATACACCCTAGAGGGTCAGGGTTAAACGAACTTTGAAAAATATACTTCCCTTTTTAAATATATATTTGACCGCACAGACTCCAGGGCTTTGTACAAAACCCCTCACTATTTCAAAAGAATGCCCGCATTTCTGTACGACAAGGACCGCCAAATAGGTTTCTCTGTGACCTCTGTGCGTGGTATTCCGCCGTTCTCAAAGCTTTATTGGGTAAAATGGTTTAAATTTTTTTCTCGATAACAAGATGTGGTACCAATGATTGAATTGAATAACGTCAAGCAAAATAACGACAATTAAAACGCCGCGTAACATTCGAATAAAGTTTAAATGAAAACATAAATATTATTGGCAAGTGTAAATAAATTATCAACCATAATGAAAGGCCATGATACTGCCCATATCCCTTTGGTCACAAAATAAGTCGTTCCTCTTGGCTTGATAACCACTTTCCCTTCAATATAGAATACGGTACAAGAGTAGATGTATCCCATGCAATGATGTAATGCATCACAGAAATGTAACCATGTTTTTCTACAGTTACTGTTAATTAAAGGAAAATCTGCTTATTTACACTCGCGGTGCTCTGAGCGTCAGTTTTTAACATAAACTTAAAATAGTTTAAAACAAAATGACTCCAATACCTTTCTAACAAGAATTGTGTCAAGAGATTGGAAACTGGCCCTTTTATTTGACTAAACTTCTGCAACATTATCATGTATGATAGAATTTATGCATGGAGGTGTATAAGAAGAGTATAAGTGGTTGGGGGGGCGGCCACACCCTCCGTATACAAAAAGGGACAGAAAGTTTTCTTATGTTTAACCGGGAACGGGCCATTTTAGAGAACTGTTGCATTCCCTTTCAAGCCTCCAAATTTAGCCTCGCAATGGAGACGCTGTAAAACGTTACATTAAGAGATTTCTAACCCCCCCCCATCGTGCCCGAAATGTGCTACTGGATCCCGCCTTGGCAGGTAACATTTCTATCGGCACTTTGGATTGATGATCCCCTCTTACAACTTGCCAATGCTGTCCAAGATGAGAGAGCTACACTGGGCCAAGTCATATAACTCACGATGTAGTTGTCTCATAAACTCGGGTAGATTCTGAAGAAAATCCAAGAGATCAAGATGGTAATGATAAACTTAATGTACCCGGTGCAATTCGAACTAGTTGGCGTAAGGAGTCTCACTTGACTGATGCTAGGGTCCTACAAGTGGACAACTTTTTCCTAACTGTACTCTCATTCAACTGGGAGTAGGACGCCACCCTTTACTCAATTTGCTCCTATTGCTTCAGTGACGGGTAGAACCGATCTGAATCAAAGGGTATACTTGTCCCAGCTTTCGAAGCTTAGCCTATAACCCGATCGGCGATTTTATTCTCCAGGTACTCAGGCTGGCTTGAGCAAGAACGGCAGAGGCACTGGTTACAGTATCCAGTCCGTGTCTGCTGTTGACGCTACCGCCATGAAGATCGGCGAGAAGGGAACTTTCTTCGCAGAGGACGGTATGGCTTATGAATTCCGGAACATTAAAGATTACGCAAAGGTAGGCCTACTGAGGATGATTTTCAAAACTTTAATCAATTGTTGGGGTAGCCAAGCGGGGAGCAAGGGGCAACTGACCCATGCCTGTGGGGATTCCCCTCCCCCCCTGAAAAGCTTTTATACGAGTCGACACCGTTGAAACCAACAGTTGATTCTGGTTCCGTGCATGTTGTAAGCTTGGGCTTCTAGACTTTATCATTATAAGTATGCAGGTCATAGCAGAAGCAATACACTTTGTTATCACACAATCTAAAAGTAAAGGTGTCCTAAATGCACCACTTATACAATATAAACCCCATATTTTTCCTGTTTTTTTTCTCATAAAAATGTTGTTTCAAGTTGTACCATTTCTTGGCTTATTCTTTGTCCTTCGTATTATTTTTTAGGAGGAAGAATACAGGATTGATCCAAAGAGGGAAACCTGTGAAGTTGTCGAACTGAAGGATGAAATGCCTCGATGCGTACCTGGTGTGTACATTAAGTCTGATAAGTCTGGCACTTGCCTTTCAAGTTCAGGCATGGCAAGTTCCTGCGCCCCACGATGGGGGTGTGGAAAAATGAAGAAAGACGGAAAGAAACCAAAACGAAAGGAGGAAGGAAATGAAAATTACCAATATGCCTGAAAAAACCTCGAAAATGACTTCCTTCCGCCTTCGAAAGTTGGGTAGATTCAGCAGGACATCGGGACCTTGCTCCTCGCCTCCCGGGAGTAAAGTATTTGTTGAGAGATGAGAGAATTGCATTTCTGTTTGGTTTAAATCATCCCCCTTACGAACCGTGAAAATAAGTCCTAAAATGTAGTCTCTACGCTCGAAACAACTGCCCCAATTTGGTTCTGAATTCATTTCTGTTCGCTGCTGATGAGTCGCCCTGTCTGAAAGAAATTGATCCTATCTTGACAACGCTCATGCTATCAAAGTTCATTAATTTTTGGTACCTTTGATAACTTCTCCTTAAGCTGTCATCCATGGGGGATTTTCATGAATGATTTCCGTCGGACATTTTCTAGAGCGTAAAATCTGGGTTTAAAATCTAAAACAATGTGAAATTACCCAGCTTCTGTATACTTTGAGTGGGTTATAGTTGCGCTTTATATCAAACTAGTTTTGTTGTTCTCTCCTTTTGTTAGACAACGCCACCTATTCTGACTCGTCCTACCTTGGCAACGACAGCTTGACTGTCGACTCGTACATCTATTTTTACCACTATCCTGGTGTTGTGGTTGGTCAGCAGTCTGTCGGCGTGGCGAAGGAAGGTTGTATTCCAACCAGTTACACCTTCTCTGGATCTCTGGGCAAAGGGAGACGCAGAAGTAAGAAGTTATTTCTTTTAACTAAGAATATTGATTCGTCAAAGCATGTTTAGGCCTATGGGAACCTGCCCGTATGGTTTGAGCAGGGATAAAATACGAAACAGGAAAAAGAAGAGCGAATAACTAATATTCTAGATTTTTCTCGCCAATTTTACAACTACACTTTTAATCAATCTATTTTGGGCCCCAAACTTCTGCAGGGATTGTTTGCCAAGAAGGTTGGTTACGAGGGCATTCACTGTACAACCGTGATGCAACCAATAAGCAATAATGACAAATAAAAAACTGCATCTCCTTTGATATTTCACTGAACATTTAAAGCGCATTCTGCCGAAGTAGAGCCTTGAGCTGAGCCACCACCTACCCGTAGTGAAATTGTTCGAGACGTCACAGTCCATGCACTAGCCCATGCCCCACAAGGACCGGGCCCCATCAATGCCTCACAATTAGAACACACAAAGCTAACCCCACCTGTCTGAAGACATCCCAGCTTTACACCATATAACACCTCAGCAAATAGTGTTTCATGCGAATAAAGAGTCTAAAGCTAAGGGAAACAAGATTGTGACCTGAGTAAATAACTATAAAGACATTCACTGCTTTGCTATTTTTCATACATATAGCTGATATCCTGACCGTTACTGGCTTCTACAACTACGTAGATGGCATTTCTGATGAAGCCTCGTTTTTCGATGTGCCCGAGTATTGCGAGGAAGTAAGTCAGCATTCACCCCTTCCAAAGTATTTCAACTCGAAGACTTCCAAATTAATTTTTAGCCTTTTGTACAATGACAAGACATTTAAGAATACTTTCATTAAACTATCTGTTATCAAGCCAATAAGACGAAAGCAGTGGCTCTACATGAGGATGGTGGAGATTATACATACTTATTTCACTGCATTTGTGTTTCCAGTGATGGAACTCGACAATTAAGATTTTGCAGCGAAAACTTGAAATAAGAAAGCGTGTTAGTCAGTGAGATAAAACTGGCAGATTTCATCCTTGTTTTGTTTTGGCCCTTCATCGAAACCGTGAAAAATTATGACAAAAATTATTTGCTTCTCAAAGGACGATGGTGATGATTCTTCAGGTCGTTTTATTTATGCTGAAAGAAATCAAATTATTTTATCTTTTATTGAATTCATTTTTTGATCGTACAGTCTGTTAACAAGAACGCCGAGCTATGGGAGTTGCTCCGCTATAAGCAGGTGCCGATCCATTTTTAAATGCGGCAACAAAGCTTCATCCAGACGACCTCTGCATGGGAATGACTGTTGAAGACTTTAGTAAAACATCCTTATTATAAGCAAACAAATACTTGTACCAGTTGTTGGGTTCTTAGATGTGAAAACTACAAACTGATTCTTCAATTGGTTTGTAATGATTTTTCTTTTCTTGTCAAATTCAAATTTCCAAGCTTAATACGAGTGGCAGTCCGAACAATGGTCACGAGAGACCTCGTATATGCAAATAAAACGTAATGAAAATTCATTTATTTCATATGAATGGCAACCATTCGCTACGAACATTTAGAATTTAGTTAAATCGGATATGATGAGACTACTGCAGCTGATTGGAAACTTGACAATGTGCCATAAGCAAACTTCCATTCAAATTGTAATGTTTTAAATAAAGTATTAACATCAATCTATCTATGATTGAGTAAGATGGTTAAACTTCGATGCCTGTGAGAAATAAAGAAGTTCACAGCAGACCCAAAATGAGTAGGAATTATAATTCCGACACCCAAACGGGGATTAAGAGGACGACGTAGTCTATACCATAGGCCCATAGATCTTTTCATAGAGCGTGTACTCCTTTTAATAGTAAAAAAAAACAAGTGCTTGTATACAATTTAATGCCGAACATACGACAGAAAATACATGTACAAGAAATGTTGACGGATTTTCTTTTACTAGAGGAGTGACATTTCCCCGACCCTCACCTGTTTGAGCTCCACCCCCAAAGAATCATATTCGCTTTTAAGCATTCATCCTTCACCGAGGTGTATATTAGAGTTACAGAGAAGAAGCCAAGGATTTTCAGTAGAGGTGTCACCAGCTATGAAACAAGTTTCAGTAAACTTGCTTGAGTTGTTGACATCATCCAAAGGAGCTTTTCGCTACGAATTCTTACGTGGTCTGAACAAGTTTATGATTAAAGTAATTTGCATTTTTTCATATATAATAATTTTAATACCCTTTTCTGTGTTTGAGCGGACAATCAATGGCCACACGTGATGATCGATTTTCCTTTAGTAATTATTTGTATCGACTTTACTTTTTCCTTTTCTTAAGAGTAGTGGGAAATAAAAACTGTAGTATATAGCTCTGTAGTTTGGTGTTGAGGTGAAATTATTTAGTTTTCGTCCCAATGGTTGATGACCGAAAGTTTGTTTTGTGCATTTTTTGAAAAAATGACGGCGTAGTAGATTATTCAAGCTGAAATTTTGCTGGATTTCTTGATAAAAAAATCAACTGTATTATGTTATCACCTCAAATTTTGTATATGGATCAAAGACAATAGGTCTAAATGAGTTGTACACAAAACTGACATAGCTCGTAAAGATTACCAAACTCTGTCTTAACAGCTAATGAATTCCGTGATTTTGAAAACTGAAAACGAAAAATTGGCAACCATATTTCATGTCAACTATGCCGTGTCTTCTGAGTAGAATTCTGAAAACAAAGCTGATCGGCACGTTTTCGAACCCGCCCCAGTTGCGACAGACTATATAGACGCCGCTCCGCAAAAGTTAACCTAAGAGAACGGAAAGCCACGTGATGCAAGATTTGGGTGGAGAGAGCCCCCCCCCGCCTTTGTGTTGGTCATTGTTTGATCGGAATCTCAGGAATTCTTACCGACTTCAAGGGGGGTGTGTTAGGTAACAATAGTTTAGAGTGTGTATAGGGATTGGACATGTGGGGGTACCCATCGGCCCCATATCGTGCACGGTATCCGGAAAGCATACTGGGTTAATTTGTTGGAATCAGCATGCGTTCATAATTGTGGTCTGGTTCCCTGTAGCCTCGAAACTGGACCGAGAGGGGCTATTTTCTTAGAAAAAGAGGCTTCTTTGGTCGCTGGAACTGAACTTTTGCTGGTTCACGAACAGTGAACTGAACTCTATTAGAGGCAGTACAGATACTATTACAGGTATTTTATCTTGTGAATAAAACATTCCATGTGTTGATGATAACCTTCAGATGTCATCACCAAGAACATTGCCGACTACGTTTGAACATTTCCAAAATCGGAAGAGATTCCTCAAGGTTCAGTTGAGTGGTAGTTGGCGTACTTACCCAAAACACATTGAACGGAAGAACATGAAAAGATAAGAGCAGAAGAAAATCTGTTAAAAAAAGAGGACTTCCGCTTTAAACGCAGGGGAAGGAAACAATCATTTGGTTTCTTTCTTAAAAATTATTCCTCGGTTGCATTTGGACATTACTTAAGAGAAGTAGAAATGATTTTATTTGAAAAGAAGAGCAAGATTTTTTCAGACAAGAGAGAAAATGAAAAAATATTTGCCTAATTCTACAAACAAACCAAATAGATTTTCACAGAGGAAACTTGGTTGGTTTCATACCGACGATAGTATGAGCACAGTCCAAAAAAGAGCGAGCGTTTGTGATGATTTTTGGCACTGGCCAGATCTGGACCACTGAAACTTTGCTGGGGTCGGGTTTCACACCATCTTAGGTGATGATGTGCGTGGCCAAGAGAGAGAACTTCCTGGTGGAATAACTCACATTTAGTTGGCTTGAATTTGAGTCCAGCCTTGCTGATTCACTGCAAAACTTCAAGTCGTTCTATGTGTTTTTGCAAGTGTTTTCCATTGCACACCTTTGAGCAAGAGTTCCAGGCAACGCTCAAATCTGCTGCACATGGCATTGTTACGTATTCGTACAGGCCATTCCAAGTATCAAATGCTGTTGTGGGACGATCTGCCTCTTTCACCCTAATTTGCAAGTATCCGGACTACTTACCGAGCGTGTTAAAGATTGTAGTTCCATTGAGGTAATCTAGATAGTCATCAAAATAGGATAGGGGTACGCATCACGACGCGTCCGATTGTTCAACTTGTGCATATTCTACACTATGGGCTGGTTGTGCTGTCCCTTTTCTACCGACCTTTTTCTGAAGCCTACTGGCGATGCCCAAGTGGACGTTGACTCTCTGATGACACCCGCCTTGAGCTAACTCTTGAGAACTTTCTCCTCCTCGCTAAGAAATGCCTTGGGAGGACGACAGGGAGGCTGGCATACTTGGCGAGTATCGCTGGTGTTTAGTGTGTTGCGCTGCTGGTGTTCGGCCCAAGTCCTCCCAAAAAGTACTGCAGGAATTAGATGAGGTAGTCGGGCGTACCCGTATGTCATCCCTGGAGGAGCGACCCCTTAACCACACGCAGGTTGTTGTATCGTTGTTATAGATGCAACGTGTCAGATAATGGCTGCACTAAAGTAAGTAACCAGTTCTTATGTCCACTGGCACAGTGGCGTATCCAGCGGGAGGGCGGGTGGTAGGAAACTTGCCCCCTTCCAACGGATTATTTTTTATTTTTTATTTGTTTTTACAACGATCACTTCATGGGTGGATAGGAAAGAAAGTGATCGGTATACTGGTATTTACTTATCAAATATTAGCACCAGAAAACTAAGAAAACAACACCACGAAATAAAGCAAGGATGTCGGGAGCGTGAGTAAGGCTTTTGATATTTTGTTCTCCACCATCATGCTGAATGAGCCCGAAGCTGCATTTGCTTTTGACCCCCCCACGACCACATCTGGACACGCCCCTTTTGACAATCATTGGCCGAATTTGGGCGGCTTGTTTTCGTATGTTGTTCGTGGGTGGGTCGGCCGTTGGTACGCCGGGGACGGACGTACAACTGGTTATCGCTGGTAGTTAGTGTCAAGCAACATGCAATATGGCGGCGTTCGTGTACGTTCTTCGGGGGTTAATGTTTGGATAACTGGGCGAAATTTCTTTGTATTTATTGTGCAACATTTATTTCTGTGTTATGGATTTATTAATACATGTATAAATTCTGCAAAACGTCCAATTTTCTCCGACTTTGTAAAGCCATCTCCTATTTTTCTGCAGCTGTTCAAAATTCAAATCTCACGAGCTTTTCCGTGTGTTCCTGTAAAATCCTGACAAGGAGGTGGTGTGTGATCCTGCTCCGAGAATTGTGTTCTTGGGACTTGTTCCCGCCATTCGAGAGCGAGAACGCACAGGGTACTCATCAAGTAACCCTTGTCAAAAGCCCTTGCCACTCCAACTGTTCTTACGACTTCTTGTCGTGAAAGTTGAATTGACAATAAGTCTGAGAGATCTGTGAAATTAAGTTTATGCTGATGGAGAAGTCCTCATCTTGCATCTTCTTTTTACGTAATCTTGTTCCTTGAGAACGAAGCCCTTTCTTCAACCTTGTTTTTTTCTGTATCTTTTCTTCTGTTTTTAAAAATGTGTATGCGCTTTTTTTTTCTGAGATCAGTGGGAACACCCCGTCATCGCCATGGAGAGGTTGTAAAACGTTACATTAAGAAATTTCATGATGAATGTCATCGCTTGAAAAAGTCTCATTGGTCATGAGTGCTCGATTCGTTGGTAGCGACGCAACGGTGACGCGTACATAAATAATCGTGCACCAGCGAAGTTCAGTCGACCAAACAAGCCTCTGTTGTAAGAAAATAGCACCCTCTCTTGGTCCAGCTCGAGGCCCATAGGGAACCAGACTAAAATATTAACGCATGCTGATTCCAACAATTTTACCCAGTATGCTTTCCGCTCTCTTAGGTTGACTTTTGCTGAAGTGTTGTTTAAATAGCCCGTCGCAACAGTTTTAAAACTCGTAGGAATTTATTGGCTGTTATAATGGATGGAATTCGGAAATCATTACGTGCCCATGTTAAATTTGTGTATAACTCATTTAGACCAATTGTTTTCCATTCATATACAGGGTTTTAGGTAATAACATAAACTGGTTGATCTTTAACCAAAATTCCAGCAAAATTTCAGCTTGGATGAATTCACTACGTCGTCATTTTTCCTAAATGCACAAACAACTATAAGCAATTTGGACGGTACGACAACTAAATAATTCGACCTCAACACCAAGTGAAAAAAACTATATTTCTTTTTTATTGCCCACTATACAATTTCCGAGAAATGATCATTTTCGAGAAGAATCAATAAAGGGAAGGAAATTCAATCACCATGTGTGGAGAGAATGATTGATTGTCCACTTAAACGTAGAAAGGGTATTATAATTATGCCAAGAAAGGTACTGTGATTATAGCTCAGTGAAAATGGAAATTACTTAGTCAATTCTTAAAAACTATTTCAGACGAAATAAGAATTAGTTTGCTCAAGCAAATTTACATTTAATGAACCTTTTTTCAGTAGCTGGTTATAATTCTACTGTAGACAAATCCTTGGTTTTTTCTCTGTCACTGTAATGTACAGTAGATGGGGGAAACCTCTATCAAGGATGAATGTTAAAAAGCGGTCATGTTTCTTTGGCGGTGGTGTTCAAACAGGTTAGGGTCGGGGGAAATTTCACTCCTCTAGTAAAAGAAAATCCATCAACACTTCTTGTCATAATTAAGCAATTGTGTTATCAAATTCAATATTCGCCTAAAATGTCGTAATGCGCCTGTTTTCACAAAACATTTCAACAATTCTCCTAAATCAGATAATTCTGGGTGCATACCAAGGAAACAAATTCTCCCTAGAGGCGCATTTCAAACGCTTACATACGTTGGACAAAAGAAAGATCTTCAGACCGAGTCGGGTTTTAAAATCTACAACTATTTTCTCTGAAATTTTGCTAAGCCTATCTTTGCTTTTTTCTGTATAGCGCAGTGATCAATAATGGAATTGTAAAAAGCCCTTTGTAAAAAGATTATCATTAAAGCAATGCTTTGAAAAGATCTACGGTACAGACCACGTGGTTCTCATAATCCCCATTTGGAGGTGTCAGGATCTAATATCTACACAATTTTGGTTTGCTGTGAACTTCTTCATTTCCCACAGGCGCCAAATTTTACCATCCTACTCAATGTTGAGTAATGATTGATCATGGTAATGATACTATATTCATAATAATCTGAGAGGAAAAGTTTACTTGTGACATATTGTGGAATTTCAAATCAGCTGCAATAATCTCATCTGATTTAACTAAATTTGAAATTTTCATTGCAAATGGTTGTCATTCAAAAAAAATAAATGAAATTTCATTACGTTTCGTATGCATATACTAGGTGTCTCGTAACCATATTTGTTTGGACTGATAAGTGCATTAAACTTAGAAATTTGAATTTGACAAGAAAGAAGAATCTGTACAAACCCATGAACAACTAAGAAGCCTACAAATTAGTACAAGTTTTGAAAGGTTACAATTAAAAAAAGAAGGATGTTTTACTGGCGTTTTCAACAGTAATTCCCATGCAGAGGTCGTCTGGATGAAACTTTGTTGCCGCATTTAAAAATGGATCGGCACCTGCTTATAGCGGAGCAACTCCCATAGCTCGGCGTTCTTGTTAACAGACTGTACGAACAAACAAAAATGAGAAAATGAAAAGATCACATGGCGGTTCGTTTTACAATAATCCGAATTCCTTCACTTTAATGAAACCATAGTTGGAAGTGAGAAAGTGAGGATAGCATTAAAAGCTGACCTGAGAAATAAACTTCCTCAGGGGAGCCAATCATTTTTCTCACGATCTTTTCATGGTTTTCGTATAACGTCAACGTAGGGTCAAAACAAAGACGAAATCTTTCAGCTTTTATCTCGCCGACCAACGGACTTTCTTATTTGAAATTATCATTGCACAATCATACTGCTTACTCTCATTGGAAAAACAAAATGCAGTGACATTTGCATGCATGTTCTCTATCATCATCATGTGAAAACGCTGGTTTTCTATCGTTGGCTTGATAACTGCTGTATTCCTTTTGGTAATGTTTTATCATTACAAAAAAGGTTAAAAAATAATTTGAAAATCTAATAGATAAACTGTTTAGGAAGGACGAATGCTGACTTACTGTCTCGCAATAACCAGGCACATCAAAAAACGATGCTTCATCAGAAATGCCATCTTTGTAGTTGTAGAAGCCAGTAATGGTCAAGATGTCGGCTATACGCATGAAAAATAGCAAAGCAGTGAATATCTTCATACATAATCAGGAACGTTCTTGTTTCTCTTTAATAATTTCTTTATTCGTACGAAACACTATCTTTGAAGGTCCTAGATGGAGTAATGCTGGGGTTGGTTGAGTCAGGTAGGTGGGTTAGGTTAGGTGGGTGGGTTTGTTTGGTTTGATTGTGAGCCATGATGGAGCCAGGGCCTGGTGGGGCAATCACTACCACGTTGGGTAGGTCATAGCTGAAGCAAACTTAGGCCGTGGCTGAGTTGCGGCTTCTATATGGCTAAAAGCCGCATAGCTGCTCAGTCGGATCAATTTTCTTAATTTAAAGCGATAAACTCTTACTTCTGCGTCTCCCTTTGCCCAGAGATCCAGAGAAGGTGTAACTGGTTGGAATACAACCTTCCTTCGCCACGCCGACAGACTGATGACCAACCACGTAGCCGGGATAGTTGTAAAAATAGATGTACGAGTCGACAATCAAGCTGTCGTTGCCAAGGTAGGACGAGTCAGAAAAGGTAGCGTTTTCTAATATCAAAATGAGAGGAGAACATCAAAACCAGCAAGTTTGATGATAAAGCGCAACTAGGCCTATAAACAAGCTCAAATATAGTGTACAGAAGCTGGGTAATTTCAAACTCTTTTGAAAAAAAACCCAGATTTTATAAAAAAATTTGTGATGGAAATTATTGATGAAGAACCGACGTAACATTGAAAAACACACATAGGACTATGCATGAAAACTCAAGGAAAAGTTATCAGAGGTACCTATAATTAAGGAACTTTGATAGCATGTGCGTTGTCAAGATAGGGTCCAAACGCTTTCAGGAAGGGCGACTCACCAACAGCGAACAAAAGTGAATGCAGAACCACATGGAGTAGTTTTTTTGCGGGGTGGACGCCTTGGGGATCTTTTTTTTTTACGGATTTTAAAGGGAGGGAAGTGATTTAAACCAAACAGAATCGCAGGTTCCTCATCTTTCAACAAATTGTTTGCTCCAGGAATGGGGGCAAGGCCCAGTTGGCCCGCTGAATCTACCCATCAACTTTTAACGCCAAACGGAGGTCATTTTTAAGGTGTTTTCGAGCATGTTGGTGATTTTCATTTCATTCCTACTTTCTTTTCCGTTTCTTTCTTTTTCCATTTTCCCGCACCCCTGCCGTTGGGGTGGGAGACTTGCCATGCCTGAGATTGACAGGTGTCAAATTTCTATCAGGTTAATGTACACACCAGGAACGCAGAGAGGCATGTCTTCCTCCAGGGGTTCAACCTCACATTGCTCTCCCTTTGGGTCAATTCTGTATTCTTCCTTCTAAAAAAAGAACACGTAAAAAGAAGGGCAAAGTTAAGTAGAAGAAAAAGTGGAACTTGAACAGAGATTTGCAACAAATAATAAACAAGGAGGAAAAGCGTCGTTTTTTTTAAAATCAATGGTGCATTTCGAACACCTTACTTTCAGATTGTGTGTTATTTATACAGTGTATTGCTCTGCTATTACTTGCATGTTTACATTGATGAAATCTAGAAGCCTAAGCTTAGAACATGGAACCAGACTAACTTGCATCAATGATGTAGCCAAGTCTTTTAGGGGGCAAAGGGAAGAGTTCCTACAGAGATGGGGTCAGTTGCCACTTACTCTCCGATTGGTTATGCCATTGGTTGATAAAATATTTGAAAATCGCCACCAGTACCTTCGCATAATCTTTAATGTTCCGGAATTCATGAGCCGTGCCGTCCTCTTCGAAGAAAATTCCCTTCTCGCCGATCTTCATGGCGGTAGCGTCAACAGCAGACACGGACTGGATACTGTAACCAGTGCCTCTGCCGTTCCTGCTCAAGCCAGCCTGAGTACCTGGAGAATAAAATCGCCGATCGGGTTATAGGCTAAGCTTCGAAAGCTGGGACAAGTATACCCTTCGATTCAGATCGGTTCTACCCGTCACTGAAGCAATAGGAGCAAATTGAGTAAAGGGTGGCGTCCTACTCCCAGTTGAATGAGAGTACAGTTAGGAAAAAGTTGTCCACTTGTAGGACCCTAGCATCAGTCAAGTGAGACTCCTTAGGCCAACTAGTTCGAACTGCACCGGGTACATTAAGTTTATCATTACCTGCTTGATCTCTTGGATTTCCTCCAGAATCTACCCGAGTTTATGCGACACTACATCGTGAGTTAAAGGACTCGGTCCCTCGCTCCTAATAACTCTCTCATCTTGGACAGCATTGGCATAATAGTTATGAGTAAAAGGGGGGGGGCAGTCAATCCAAAGTGCCAATAGACATGTTATCTATCAAAGCTGGGTCCAGAAGCACATTTTGGGCACGGTGGGGGGAGGTGGAAATTTCTTTACGTAACAATTTACAGCCTGTCCATGGCGAGGCTAAATTTGGAGGCCTGAAAGGGAATGCAACAGTCTCTCTAAAATCGTCCGTTCGCTGTTAAAACATAAGAAAACTTTCTGCCCCTTTTTATATATGGCGGGTTGGCTCCGTTGCCGCCCCCCATTCGCCTATACTCTGCTTTAAGATACACCTCCATGCATAAATTCCATCATACACGATAATGTTGAACAAATTGTTCTTATGTACAAACTTTGTACTTAACAACAATGTATTGGCCCTATTATTTAATAACAGGGCCAATTTCCTATCTTTCGGCACAGTTCTTGTAAGCAGTGTATTACAGTCATTTGTATCAAATTTATTTGAAGTGCATGTTACAGTATGGCAATCAGAACACGAGAGCGTAAATAAAATCACCTCTTCCCTTTCACAGTTGTTTGACAATCTACAAAAATCACGATTACATTTCAGTGAAGCATAACATCATTGCATACGATACATCTACACCTGTACCGTATTCCATATTGAAGGTAAAATGGTTTAACAAGGTAAGCGGAGGAGTAAACTAATTTTGTGACAAAAGGGAACAAGGCAGCATCAGGGCCTTCCATTATGGACGACATGTTCATTTACACTTGGCAATTTATGTTTTCATTTAAACTTGATAATCACTGGTGGCCACATCTTGCCATTGAGAGAAAAATGAAATCATTTTGCCTAATAAAGCTTTGAGCACGGCTATTCGCACCCTGTGCGTGATTTGCAGCTTTGTTCTTAAACAGCGAGTTGACAGTATTTGGCGGTCTGTGTGATACAGAAAATCGGGTATTCTTTTGAATAGGGAGGAGGGATTTGTACAAAAGCCATGGAGTGCCGTCAGGTATTATTTAAAAAAAAAAGTGAAGTATATTTTGTCCAAGTTCGTCACGGTATGAAATATAATACGAGATACATTTCCCCCAAGTTCGTTTGTTCAAGATAGACGGGGTACAGAGGCGGGGGAGGGGGAACTTTTGTCCAATGGAAGACAACTTCGTTAGAAAGTAATCGGTATGTTTGTTTCTCAGATATTAGCACCAAAACCCACAGAAAACGACACCATGAAATAAAATCAAGGACGTCGGGACGCGGTAAGGCTTTCGATATACCTTTCCCCCTGATGTTGAGTGAGCCCGAAGTCGCATTAGCTTTTGAATTTGCCCCCCCCCCACCAAAAGCTGGATTCGCCGCTGACAGGGTGTCTTTAATAAAAACGAAATAAATTTGTATGTTTCTTTAATTATTTTGATCAATGGTTACCATCATTGGTTTCATTATGACACCAAGAAATCCAGACTTTCATTACATATGAAGTGCTTTAATTAACCAAGTCAGAAATGGCTTTGCGCCAAATTTTGATGTTGAATTCGTACTGTTCAGAGATAGCTTTTTTTGTCAGAATTACGTAATTTTTGCTACCATTTCCAAAATTTATGTTAGCCATTTTAAAAGCGATGAGAGCAAGGGCAAAATTTGTATTTAAAGAAATGGGGGTGGGGATTGAAGGTCACCGGGGTTAGGCTGCGACAAGAATACGCCCTGTCTGTGGTTGATTTGGAAATGTACTTAACGCTTCACGCTCTTCAAACCTGTGATGCACCCGGCACAAAGCCAGTTCTAACATGGTTCATTAAATTATTTTTGTGCTCAGTCATGTGTGACGGAAATAAGGATTTCTTGGTGTCATACGAAATAAGACATCATACTGAAACAGATTATGTTTATCATTTACAAAAATAAGAAGACCCATTCAAGAAACAGATTTATAATTAATCTCGATTTCCTTTTTAATACACCTGTAAATTCTCCAGTCCGTTCCCGTAAGATCTATAACTAGAAACGTTGTGTCTATTTTGAAACAAAATATTTGTTAAGAGATCTATTTTTCCAAGTTCGATTTTAGGAGATTTCTCTAAATTCGTGTTTGTTCCTAAAACTAGAAACAACGTATCTAAATATAGATCTCATTAGAACGAACTGGAGAATGTATGTCTTAACCAAACCAAACTTTACAGAAAACATATCTCATACAAATGAAGTAAAAATCTCCTAACAACGGACTTCGAGAAAATCTACTGCACTTTTTGAGAATATGATACTTGATGGCACTCCAGGGTTTTTGTAGGTTTGTTTGGTTGCAGTGCATATCAAATGCAGGCATCCTGCAATCAAACGTGTATTACAACAACGTTTCCAAAACACCCCGACGGGAGTTCAGTGTTCCTCCTCTCCTATTTCTTTATTGTCTTTTGTGCGACTTTAATTCCAAAAGCATAGTTGTCTCAGAGATTACTGGTTTAATGAACAAGAACTAACAGAATTTCACATGAACCACAAATTTCTGTTTTTTTTTCTAAATGAGAATTTTGAATGGAATGACTCAATCTGGAAACGTTCAATATTATTCAACCAACGCCCAGCAGAAACTTCGCGGCAATCACGAAATGCTACGTCTGATTGTTTGTGATCGTTTTCAAACATTTGTTCAAATTTGCAAACAGGTTTGCACATTGTTTAGTCTGACTCAATTCCGTCAGGATCCACTTAATCAAGTGTCCTTTTGCTTGGTACTTTGATCATCTCAGTCCATTGGCTACTATTTTTATTGCTCCTTTCAGACGTGTAACGTGAATATTCAATCAGCATATACGTTTTATTCATGCCTGACCACGCCTTGCCTTGCGCAACTAATCAAGCGGGTCGCTCACAATAGGCTAGCTCACTAATTTACGGGCGCATGCGCTGAGCGGCCCATTAAAACTGTACAGGGGAGCAGTTTCAGCGTCATTTGTTCTTTTTTAACTACTGCACTTTTTTCACTTTCGTCTGCGGAAAATCCTCTAAAATCACTACAGCTATTACTTTTATAGGGCTTTACGAAGACTAGACTGAAAAAGATGGCTGAAGCTGACAGAAAATAATGTTGAAATTTGTGCCCCTGTATATTTTCAATGGACCGCTCAAGCTTTTTGCCTCCACATACTATTTATGCGCATGCTCACTTAAATTATAATTTATAAGTGAACTGCTCTATTCGCTATGCGTGCAGTGACAGATTGCAGAGGAGAAAGTGTAAGTTTTATTTGCAATCTAAAATGTGTACATTGTAAAACATGATGATTCTATGGAAATTGTCTGTTGTGCGTGGTTTCCATAATGTATTGTGAAGTAACGCCCAACTAATTGTAGTTTTTAGTGGACAGCCTTTGAGACCATAACAAGACCCCTCAGCCGACAACACAAAGAACCCTGGTTTGAATTAAATAGAGCAAGAGGTATTCAAATGAATTGCAACAGTAGTCTTCCTTTTCAGTGTTCATCCTGTTAATCGTATAGCTGGTCTTGGTCTTGTATCTAGTCGCATAAATGTTCTTGTGATGGCCGCTACTGAGACACGGCAGTAAGGTGTTTTGCGGGAAATCGAATAGGCCTATGCCCATGCACTCAACAATTTGAAAAAAGGCCAAAATGAGTTTGGGTCACCAAAAAATTCCAAAGATATTTCCACCATTGTCATATTTATCATATATTATCATTCAGAAATGGTTTGAGAAATAACCACTCCCTTTATCAAGCTGAAAAAACTCAAAGTTGACCAGGAAATCTACATACCTGAAGAGATCTCATACTTGTCTGGGTAGCAACAGGGCTTGACATTAGCCAACGACTTGGCATAGCTTGCTGCTACGACCACAAACAGCACGAACGCAACCGATTTCAAACCCATGTCTGTAGACAAAATTTGTGCCGAAATTCTGAGAGACCAAACTAGTGCACGCTGCAGAAGCTTTCTCTCCCACCGCTGCTCAACTGACAAGTGAATCTGTGGTGGGTTGGATGGTTGGTTGGTTGGTTGGTTGATTGGTGTACTTGTGAATCTATCCAGGGACCGTCTTTATACAACCGCCCGGACTCAATGGACTGTTGTCCGTTGATTGTTATTTTTTCCTTTTTTCCCACGACGTCTTTTTCAGTTTTCGCTTTTATGTACCTTGAGGAAAGCATTGTGCTTTGACAGCCGCGAGGTTCACATGACTCTCTTATAAAATGTACCTATGGCGCATTTAATTCTCTGGAAAAGAAAAAAAAAGAAAAAAATGAAACCCAACGAAGAAAGGAACTAAAAATAACGTTAATTATTCATTCCTTTGAATTCGGAAGAAAGTGATGTTGGATATTGGAACCGTGGAAATTTGTAATGATGAGAAACTGTTCAGAAAGTTTCTTTGCTTCATCAGGCCTATACCAAGAAGTGACTAACTAGAATATACAGGTTCTGAGAAAGAGACAAAGATTAATTAGCGGTATATATCCTAGAGTGTTTAATATCTAGGCCTAACTTAACTACTATCTTCTTTCTAACAATTTTTTTTGGCAGGTTTAAAATGTCCCCGTTCGTTCTTGCACGTACTGTACACTCTTGGAATTTCCTTGCATTGTCGTTTACTCTTAACATTGGCGTTGATCCCCAGTAGAATGTATGCCTGGGTGGCCATACAAGTGTATTGCCGTACTGACTGGTACGGCGCCCAAAATAGCAGGAGCTAGATAAACATATTGAAAGCAATATTTTGCATGACAAGAGAGGTTTTCCGCGTGACTTCGTGGTCGTGAATGCTTTACTGACAATATATTGAGGCTGTTTCTTATTGACTGATTCCTGCACTAACATAGCGAGCGCTACAGGTACTAGTTATCCACCTTTCACATGTATCGCCTACTTAAAAAGAAAACTTTATGGCCAGACCGGCTCGAAATCACAGAGGCAATGTGTTTCTTTAAAATCAGCTAATTGAAGTTACACAACCAAGCGAATGCTTCGCGACCAAAACCTCTCATCATAAATGAAGCTCATTCTTGAACTCTCAAATATAATGACATCATTAGAAGTTTAATGGTCGGGAATTTTTTTAATTCGTTTAGCCGCGGAGTGACAAATCCTGTGTTTTGAGAGGGAAGACACCAGCTCTGTCCTTTATTTGGAGAAGAGTAAAAAAGGATTCGTGTTTAAAGTATGACCATACCCCCACGCATTACTACCCTGAAAGAGCCACTAACGCCCACATGACATCCACCACGTCACAAAAGAAGACTTATGTAAACATCATGGGACGATGGTCCGATGAAACATTTTACTCAACTTAAAAAATGGACTGAATTTCACATAAAGTGCCGAGTCATATTTAATCAGTATTTGTTTCGTTGCTTCCAGCCTCCTTTCCTGCGCAGTTTTCTCTGTGTTTTTCTTTTTCGTAATCTTAGAGTACCCTGTCGACAACAGTTTCAAGCAATTTTATCAATTCTCGTATTGTAATTACTTTTCTTTTTTGCTGTTACTTCAGATCATTAACATGCCCTTTTGCATGGACTTAATCAGAGCAGGCGCCGTTGCATGGTACACACTTTGTAAGAACGTTGAACACTAAGATATGGTGTACTATTTACGACACACATAAATTTTCTGCCTCTCTGTGTCCTCTTCCAAGGCGTCACTTCACGACAAGATGGCACGACAGCTCCCTTGCGTTGTTCCGTTGCGTCACACCGTAGCCTTCTTGTTATACGTTTGTACACACACGACGCGTCGTGCATCGCGTCGTGTACGCGACGTTACGCATGACATGAAATACGACACGACGCGACGGGCAACAGAAGGAGCAACGTTTTGGCAACAAAAATAATGCAACAAGGAAAGGATGCAGGACAGCACGACGCAACGGGCGACGGCACAACGCGACGTACGACGCGAAGTGTGTGTAAAAAGGTAATGGCAAGGAGGTGACGCGTCTGTGCAAAGCGACGGCACGACGCAAGGGAGCCATCGTGCCGTGCAGTTCCGTTGCCTCGGAAGAGGCTAGACAGAGACAGAACTCTTTGTCGTAAATAGTACACCATACTTAAAGTCCCGACGTGAGTAACATGGTTTAATCTGTTATCTTGATGCTAGTCTCTTTATATCTAAGAAATCTGTCACACTGATCCACTTCGCACACTGCATGACTGGCCTTTTCCTCCACACTCCACTGACCAGGCGTGACGCGACACAAGTTCATGAGTAAAGGTGTGCAGAATTTTGCTTGTGTAAAGTTTTGACTCATACTTGCTCTGAGCGATTACGTTCATCCAATCACCGAGTTATTAATTAGGGCTGATACTAATGGACTGAATGAAAACGAAACATGGGTGCATAAAACGGTCCTACAGATCGTCCGTATCTCTCATCACATTATCATCATTGCATTCCAAGATATAGTAACTGGACTATTTTCTCTTTCTCTATCTTGTGCTAGGGTTTCTAAATGAACTAGATTTTCTCTTCTTCTCAAATCTTAGTTTAAGACGACACAGGTAGCAGCAAGTTTGCTTGGTGGGCATAAAAAGCACTACCTTCCTCACCTCTTGCTTTCCTTTGTCCTTAAGATGTGTCTGGAGATTCATTACCTGTCACTAGTTCCTTTGCCTGTTGAAATTACAATACAGCGTACCACACAACTTGTAGACTAGTGGTTGATCACAGTAGAAGCTAGTCGTACAAGAGCAATATTTGGAGGTTGCTGCGCTGGAACATACACGAAGGTGTATGGTGGCCCTGAAGGGACGTACATATTCAAGACTAGTTGTGAAGATTTATGTCTCTCCAGGGTAAGCATAAAGGTACAATTCTTCGTGCTAACAACTGGCACAAGGACGTAATTTTAAAAGTGTAAGATGATCTTCAAAGTCAGCAACAATGACTGCCTGAAGAAACCTCTTCCTAGATATCTACATTTTGCTTCAGACAATTAATTAAAAAGACACAGAACGTGAGAACCCGATAGTGAGAATTGATGCTTTAGTAACTTCAACGTACTGCTGGAGTGCACAGCTACGTCTTTGTAACCTCCCACTCATGGCAGATGATCCATACCACAGCCATAAACTTGGATACACCCAACATCCTAACATTGATAATACATCAATACCACATCAGCCCTCCTCAAAACAAGACATCACTGCTTGAACTTAAGAAGTATACACTATATGCATACACAAATGTTTGCCTTTTTTCGATTCGTTTTCATGCAGCATGGGTCTCTAGATTAGTCCTGGGTAATTAAAATGTAAAATCAATCACAAGAATCGTTAATGAAAACTGGGTGCACATGTTGTCTGTTTCTACGAAGCTGGATATAAAAGGAATTCTTGCCTGGATCTGGGCGTTGGGCTTGTCTTACAATTGAAAGTGTCTAAACATCGTTTATGATAGCATAGTCAGTATGTGACTATCAAAGGTTGCTGATTCATGCTGAACACGAACAAACAAACACGAATTTGTATTCTTGTGGAGACGGTGTTTTGTTTGCATGTCTGTGGAGACTCTTAAGGTGTAAAAGCCTCCACAACAATGCACGACAATTGAATTGTTTATATTGTGGGACATTCGGTTGGAATTTCAACGTAGGAAAGTAACTCTGATTCATATGGGAGCATTTTAAAAACAGCGTTTCGCACCCTAATGTTTAAGTACGCGAGCGGCCTTTTGTGCCTGAATTCCTTCCAACTGCGCAGCGTGTTTATGGAGTCTTGTGGGATACCAGAACAATAGGACGTCACAGAGACGTCTCGGACAAGGTAAAAGGCACACAAGAAAAAAATCCTCAGGAAAGGAATCTACGATTTAAATGTAACTAACAAAAAAGCATGACTTAAATTTGTAATGAAAAACTTCAATCCATTTTAGGTTAACCAGACCAATTTGTGATATTTTTCCTACATGGTAGGTCTTAAATATTGCCAAAACATAATTTTTGTCTATTCAAATCTGAAGAAATCAAACTTTTTGAAATTATCACGATACCCTAGTATGCATGCGCAATTTCTAGACGATTTTCGATGATTCTTGTTGGAAGAACCTTTCATGAAATGTGCTGAAGTATTTCGACAGATAGCGCTTATTAAGCCATGCAGACTTCTTTTGGTCGAAGTAGTTTCGAGCACAATCTACAAAATATTTAAAGTGCAAAGAGTAGTATCATTCAGCATGGATAGAATGGCAAAGAAACAGCTCGAGTTTGCACCGACTAACTCCAATGAGGGCGTGATGGTCACTTTCCTGGAGCTCTGATCGGATGAATTGTGTGTCATATTATTATTTCAGACCAGTGATGAGAGGTCAGCACTTCAGCGTCCATGGTTGTTCAATAAACTGGTGTTTGTTAAACAAATGTTTGGGGGAAAGATTAGCCGCTTTCAGAGCCCTTGTATCTATATACAACACAGTGGGTTTCAAAAGAATATGCGACCAAGACGTCAAGCTATGTACAAGTTGGTCACCCAGACTCTTTCAGTGGCCTGCTGCGAGCAACTAGGTGGTAGGGCTGAGGCGCCAGCGTTATCCCCATTCGTCCACTCAGAGATGGCTGTGGCGCCCCCAACGGTAGACTGAAGCTAAACCGATGAAGAAGGTGGGTGAAGAACAGGAAGAGTTCCATTCGAGCCAATCGCTCACCAGGACACATGCGACGACCTATGAATAGATGATTACAACATCATGTAAATACAAATACATGAATATAAATCGAAACCAATAGTGTACAATGAGTGCGTACCCTATACATTATTTAAAAAAAAAAGAAGGAAAGATAAAGAAAACAAGTTTTGAGAAAGGGCTTCAGTCTCAAGGAACAAAATAGCTTTGGATAAGGTAAAAGGAAGATGTAAGATCATGACTTTTTCTACAGCATAAATTTAACTTCATAGATCTCTCAGACTAAAATTGTGAATTTAACTTGTTAAGAACTTATGAATACAGAGCCCAAAGGTCGAGTTGGAGTGGCCTGTTCTTGACACAGATTGCTTGACAAGCAGCCTATGTGTTTTCAATCGGCCTCGAACAGCAGGAACAAGACCAAAAAACACTGATTTCGGAACAGGGTCACAAATCACCTCCGCTTCAGGGTTCTACAGGAATACAGGGAAAGTAGTTGAGTTGCACACAGTAATATGATGGCTTAAAGAGCTAAAATTTTCCGAAATGAATTTTGCTTTATAAATGGGAAAGAATTTAGCCCAATTAATCCTCGAAGAACGTGTGTGGACGCAGCTACGTCATGTTGCTTGCCACTAACTACCAGTGATAACTGGTTGCATGTTCTCTGTGTTCGAGCCGCCGACCCATATACGAACAACGAATTGAGCGGTTCGTGAACATAAGAGAACAAGCCGCCCCATCTCAGCCAATGATTACACGATCAATCATCTTTTGGGCAATTGCAAGGAGCAGTGTAAGCAGTAGCGATTAAATTCTATATTCAGGATGGATTAAGGGGCCCGAAAACGATCTCATATTTGAGCCAAATCGTGGCGACGACTGGTAAATCTGAGGATTCAGTTCTGTTTTACCTGTACCATAAGGCAAGAAATGTTCTGGTTTGTGATACTGCCCTCTATCGTCCAAGAATCGCTCAGGCTGGAACTCATCAGGGTGTGGCCAGACCTTCGGATCGTGCATGACTGCCCACATGACAGGCATGATAGTGGTCCCTTTCGGTATGTCATAGCCATTCAGCTTGGTGTCCTCAGTCGTCGCCCGTGGCACAGCTGCCAAAAATGTTAAAAAAAAAAAAAAAAAAAAAAAAACACTGCTGAAATATTTCAGTACAAATATGTAAATGACCTAACTTTATTTTTCCCTTTTGATGAGATGGACCGAACAACAATTACGCAGAGTGAACTTGACAATCTGAAACAGTGGTCAGATAGTAATTTCATAGGATTAAATCCAACAAAGTGCAATTTGTTGACTGTTTTCAACGGCCTCCTGTCAAACCTCAGGTTGACATAGACAATTTGCCGATTAACCAATATAGTTGTCTTAAACTCCTTGGAATTTATGTTCAGTAGCATCTCAAATGGGATACCCAGATTAATTCAATGTGTAAATTGTTTAATTGTAAACTTTACTTTTTACGGCAGCTGATGCGTTGCAGTTTACCGGTATGTGACCTCAGAATAGTGTTTATTAATAATGTTATTGACTACGCCTCCCCTGTTTGGTTCTCTGGGCTAACCAAAAAGCAACTTGAATGTTTGGAGAAATTGCAGAAGAAGGCCTTCCGAATTATACTGGTCTGTGATTATTCCTTGACTCGTTCATATCAGAATATTTGTGACGAATTAAATATTCCCCCAACATCACACAGACTCGAGAGGTTGACCCTCAATTTTGGCACATCACTCCTTAGTTCAAACTGATTTCGAGACTGGTTCCCTCCTACCAGGAACAATAATCTAAGAAATGCAAATCACTTAACTACTATAAAATGCAGAGCAGATACAAGAATAGTTGCATTCCGAGCCTAACCAAGTTACTGAATAAGCAGGATAAGCAGGTTAATAATGAGTGATATGTTTTGCATTGTGTGATTTCCCTCAGATCATTTCTAGTTTCTTTTTAACGGGTATCATACTGTAACTCTTCGTGTTTGTGTATATTTTTATGTATCGTACGAACTCATGACCTTCCGTTTGCCTATATTACACTTTTAAACGCTTGTAATTTGTTAGATACAATCTCTTACAAATTTATTTTCATACCTTTTTTTAAAATAGTTTTTGTGATGTATGAATCTACAGTGAAATTCAACCTATACCGGTTGCTATACTGTGCATTTTTTTCAAATGTCATTTTTTTCATGAAATAAAGCAAGAGTAAAAAGAAAGAAAGAAAAGAAAAAGTAAGGCAATTCTGGAAGTGCTCTCTGAGATGAGTTACGCCAACAAAGATTAGCAAATAGCCTGACACTCCCATGGAGATGAATAACACTGAAAATCTTTGATTTCAATTCATTTTTTCTACAAACTAAATAGTACATTTTGTTGCTTCCTTACAAAAGGCCGAAATTTTTGTCTGTATTAAACTGCTTTTTTGTCAAGTTTCTGACAAATTTTGAAATAATTAGAAACCACTCTGGCAGAATACAAGTTGTGACATGAAATTGTTTCTATTTCTGCTTAACCCTGCGACGCTGTATGAAGTTTTTTTAACGGTCTCGGGAGCGGCGTCGCCAGGTGAGTCCGTATCATGTCTCAGGGTTGCAGAGCCCTGAGTCCGTCCTAAAGGTATATAAATGCTTCAGTGGCTGTCCGCTAGCTTCTACAGCTCTTACAAACCAATAAAAGTACATCACAGTACCGTGGGGGCTGTTTTCTCAAGCTATCCCGATTTGAGGGGGGGCTCGCCAGCGAAGCCACACCACCACTACAACACCCCCCAACCAAAATAACACTTCAAAGACAGCCGAAAGAGGCCTTTGACTAGTTCCAGACAGCTGTCACTGATAAGAAACGCTCCACTGCCCAAGGCACCGTTTTGTAAACAACCCATTAGATTGTACACAAGGGGTCACTTAGTACACAGTCCTATGGAAATTGACTGGAGGCTGGTTGGAGGCCGGCTGGAACTTTTTTTTCTTTTTCTGGCTAGGGGAGGCCCTGGCTGTAAAGTGACTAAACCGGGTTTTTCAGCATGTACAGGGGTAGGATATGATAAATAGTCGTTGCTTTTGGACGAAAAAAATTCCACGTTAATTAGCTCCAATGGACTCGTCAAAAGAGGCCGTTCCCTCTACCGAGGATAGTTACATGTACACAAGTAGTCGCTTTTACATACAGTCTCTGTTGCACTTAAGTTACCGAAATGAACAGGCGAAATAGAGCCCTCAAGGCAGACTTAGGTTTTGGTTCATTTCAACCCGGTAGGTGCGATGTCAACTAACGCAGGCCATATCCCATTCGGGGAACTTATTCTTTGGAAACGTTATCACTTAAATTTAAGTTGGTAACATCCTTTGCGGTTACGTTGTAAGGGACAAAACTATGGGTGTTACCCGGAGTTTCTAGAAGGGGACAGACCACTAAAATACGAAATCTAACAAACCATCAACAGTGGATGGAAGGGGTCAACTCCGAGGTATTTTCAAGCAAATTAGTTATATTCACCCCCCCGTCCTTTTTTCGCTCTTTCTTTTTTCGCCCCTATTTTTCTGTTTTCCGGTGGTGCTCCGCCCTTTTGTGACGCCAGTGGGCCCTAAGAATTGGTTACTTACTTATTGCAGCTATGTATCTGACACGTTGTATCTCGTTTATAACAGCATGGGTGTAGTTAAGACGGGGTCGCTCCTCCAGGGATGGCAAACGGGTACGCCCGACTACCTCATCTAATTCCTGCTGTACTTTCTGTTGGACGTTAGTGTGTGTCACCATATACAGCAAGGCCCAGCGCAATGTTAGGGCGGTGGTCTCAGTGCCTACAGCAAACAGATCACCGATGACCCAGGTCAAGTTCTCCTCGGTAAACGAGGATGACCCCACCTCGTTCTCACCACTATCGCGCCCACACATCTCGTTCAGGTAGGCATCGATGAAATCCCGGATTCTACCTTGGTCGAAAGTCAGCCGATGGTCACTGATGGACTTAGAGAACAGACAGGAGTTGAGCTCCCGGACGTTGGCGAGGAACTTACCAAAGCCGCACAGAGGAATGTGCTTGAGGACCGGGAAGAAGTTGACCACTCCAGCCAGTCCGACCAGCTCAAAGTTCTCCTGAAGAAGGGTCAGCAACCGCTTAAATGTGGTGTTGTCGTAATCAAAGCGTGTGCCGTACACAATAGAGCAAATGATGTTCGATACAGCTGTGTTCAGAGAAAGACATGGGTCAAATGCTTCGCTCTGATAGGCGTTCACACGATCACACAGATGACCCACCTCCTCAGTAATGTTGGACTCAAAGTTGTCCTTACCGAGTCCCAAACCACGAAGAATGTTGAAGGTCCAGGCCCTCTGCTCCTTCCATTGCTTGCCAAAGTATGCACCTGCCACTCCTATAAACAGAATATTGTTCGAAACTGAGCTATTTTCTAGAGAAAAATCCATTAAGTGTCTGGAGTCAAGACACAAACATAATATAAAAACAAATCGGGATTCGCAGTGCTCTTGTGTCGACTAATGAGACGGGCAGCCACATTAGGTACGTGATCACTAGTCCACTTGTGTAAGTCCAAGTCAAGTCACAAGTAATTTGGTCCAAGCACAAGTCAAGTCACAGGTCATTTGATCACACGACAAGTCAAGTCACAAGTTATTTGGTCCAAGCACAAGTCAAGTCACAGGTCATTTGATCACCGGCCAAGTCAAGTCACAAGTCATTTGATCACAGGCAAGTCAAGTCCAGGTCATTTGGTCCAAGCACAAGTCAAGTCACAAGTCATTTGGTCCAAGCACAAATCAAGTCACAAGTTATTTGATCACGGGCCAAGTCAATTCAAGTCACAAGTCATTTGGTCCAAGCACAAGTCAAGTCACAGGTCATTTGATTACAGGTCAAGTCAAGCCACAAGTCATTTGGTCCAAGCACAAGTCAAGTCACAAATCANGTCAAGCCACAAGTCATTTGGTCCAAGCACAAGTCAAGTCACAGGTCATTTGATCACCGGCCAAGTCAAGTCACAAATCATTTGATCACAGGCAAGTCAAGTCCAGGTCATTTGGTCCAAGCACAAGTCAAGTCACAAGTTATTTGATCACGGGCCAAGTCAATTCAAGTCACAAGTCATTTGGTCAAAGCACAAGTCAAGTCACAGGTCATTTAATTACAAGCCAAACCAAGTCAAGCCACAAGTAATTTGGTCCAAGTACAAGTCAAGTCACAGGTCATTTGATCACCGGCCAAGTCAAGTCACAGGTCATTTGATCACCGGCCATGTCAAGTCACAAGTCATTTGATCACAGGCAAGTCAAGTCCAGGTCATTTGGTCCAAGCACGTTCTAAAATATTCTATTGGCGTGTCTTGCAGGTACGTTAAAACCACCTGAACGTGGTATTTGACGCGGAAATTTCCACCTTCGAAATCAGGATGCTATTTTGTTTCAATTGTAAGCCGAGTGGAGTCATGAACTGATATGAATATTTCAATATAAGGCTCAAACGAAGCTTAAAGGCGGGGGAAAAAAACGATGAAAAATATAAACACTGCCAAATGACCACAGCAGCTAAGTGATTCAGACGTGGCCTTGGGCAGACAAGGCCGAGGTAAAAGTTGCGAGCCGAACGATTAGTGTAAGAACGCAAGGCGTAAGTTGATGGACCTATATTTGAAACTGTAATGAGTTAGATCGAATAGTTTTCTGATTTGCATTGGTAACAAGTCATAATGTCCAAGTCCAAGTCAAGTCACGAGTCATTTTTTGCAAGTTTAAGTCAAGTCACAAGTTCAACAACTGATAGTTACAAGTCAAGTCACGAGTCACAACTACGGTGACTCGAGTCCAGGTCAAGTGACTTGAGTCTGCAACTCTGGGTGATCATGTGTGGCTCGCGTACCATCGATGCCAGGAATGACGGCGGGGAAGTCCTTGTATTACCTTTGTATTCGGCACGGTAAGATGGCTGCCGGATGGCTTCAGTTTGAATCGTCAGATTAACGTGACCATTTCTTATAGCATTACATATAGAAGTTACGTCCTTTTTTGTCTTGTGGGTGTAATGAAACCCCCTTTCAGTTCAAGCATGGAGCTATCCGTTTAACAGCTCCATGGTTCAAGCAACTTCGGAAAAAGCTTAAAGTTTAACCGACTTCCCGTGTAGCCTTATACTACTGCTGCAGTACTCTCGCCGGAGTGTGCTGCTTAAAGAAACCTGTGGGGAAATGAAAATTCTAACTAGGGCATCATGCCCACGAGCGTCGATACGTGATCACAGCCTCCATTCTAAGTTATCTTAGGCACGATTTTTCCCATCAAATTTTGGAAGGTAAATGGAATTCCCACCATGAAGTGTTTCACAACCAGCGGTTGTGCTGTGTGGGCACTGCGTGGGTTACTGCAAGCAGCGACAAAAGTGGATCACAGTACATGACAAGTGTCAAAGTTCAAGTGCAGGTGTGTGGGTTACACTGGTTTTCGCGCCAAATTAGTGAGCTGCGCCTCAGCTGATCAAACTTTACTGGGACGGTGATTAAGTAAACAATAAAAGGTTACGACCACATGCTAACTCAGGGCGAACCGCGCCAGTGCAATTTATTAACTCGCGGTTCAGGGCTGGGAAACCAGACAGGAAATACAACTTGGAAACCACAAAAAGTAACAACAGAAAATTGTGATAAATCGCTAGCTATGTCGTCAAACCCTCCAAACGTACCGGGTGGTTAGATGCATTTTTAAAAGACCACCCTTTCAAAGGTCACTGACATAACTCATTTTACGGCAATGCACTTTTGGATTTTTAATGTCACGTTTTCTTCGTTATATTTTTCGCTTTTGTTACAGCAGTTGACTGAAAAGTTGAAGCTTTTAGGGAAATGTCAGGAGGCATGCATGATTGCTCGACATCCTTTCATTGGAAATTACATTCGGAGCCCCAAAAGTCTCAGCTGTTGGTGCATATCGGAATCTCCGCTCTTCTTTGTATTTGTCCAGTGTTACAGGATGGCTTGCTCCAAAAGTTGACAATTCCAGACTAATTCGGTGACTTTTTTGTTTTTGGTTTATTTACATCTCCTTGCCTCACGTACAGTAGCGTCACATCACAGTAAACCAATCCCACAACCCATAAAACAGACATTTTCCCCATTTATTTTTCCCATAAAGTTTGTTGACATAGGTTACACCCCATTTCCCCACTCACCCGTCCCAAACAGAAAAAAAAAAGAAAAAAGCAAATGCCTTCTCAACTTTAAATGTCGGTTAACTTCAGCGCGATAACCTTTGAACTGGGAATGGGGGCGTCGTCTGTATCGAGAGGACAAGAACACAATTCAAGGTATGTACAACTGACTCATGGCAAAGTATAGTGTGGGAAGTCGGTGGATTCGTTAGCGAGTTCTTTACAGCATCAAAGAAACAATTTTATCCAAACCAGTGAATGTTTGTATACATAGCTTTTTCTTTCAACAGCATCCTTTTAAAGACTGCCACTTTCGAATATTTGGATTTTCTAAAAGGATCAAAACGAACAAACAAACAAACAACCCCAACAACCCAACAAACAAACAACCCCAACAAACCAACCAAACAACCCATTAAACAAACAAACAAACAAACAACAACCCCCAACACCCCAACAAACAAACAAACAAACAATGAACTTTAATATGTTTTAAAGTGTTAAGTCTAAACAATTCACATTTCTTTCTTGCCGATTACGGGCGGACGGGGTACAGTTTTGGGCGTGAGTAAAGCCCCACAGCACCGCCGCTAAACTAATAAACAGCCGTAGTTAGGTTTGAGAAATGATGGAAACTGACCTCTTCCTCCGCCCACCTCAGTGAACATGGTCAGTCTTGGTCGGTCACTGAACACATCCCCAGACTTGCCAAGCGCCTGAACAATGCAGTCATAGTTTCCCAACACCACCACCCTATGTCCGCCGAAGTAACAGGTGAATACACCGCCATACTTGGTAGCGAACTCCGCTAACCGCTGGTGGGGAGCAGTGACACCAAGAGACGGTAGGATACCCAGCACAGGCCAGCCCCATGGGCCTGGGGGTAAGTTAACTGAACGAGAGACTCGGCCACCAATGCCCAGCTGATCCTGTAACACCCAAACTGCTAGCCAAGTCGCTGTAAAGACAAGAGCGAGTCTCAGGTTCAAGACGAAGCTGAAGCTATGTAAGTATGTCAGGGAATAATCTAAGTGAAGCGCGGTTTCCATGGTCCCAAGCAGATTCGAAGTGTGCAAAGTCAACCTCTGATGACGGACTCACCAACACTGCGCAGAGAGTCTTGAATGAAGGAGTTAAATAGTCAACTTCGGCCGGAAATGAGCCAGGTATTGACGTAGGAGGTCCCTGCATGGTTGTCAGAAACAACTGGTCGAACCCATCACAAACAGATAACGTCAACCATCGATCGATAATTCATTTTCCCTGACGCATTACTCATTTTGTAATTGGTAAAGATTTTTTCTTTTGTATGACTACTTATTTCTGAGCTCCAATGGCAGCTGATAGGGTTGTTAGAAATAGAATTCGCAATGTCACAGTTTAATAAGATCTAGTCAGTGACACTTTATACTGCTGAACCGAGAGATTAATGTTTCTTGATAGCAATATTGCAATTGATATGCAAACAATGCATTTCTTACGGAGTTGGGAGACATCAACATTGGATGCTCCAAGCAGCATATGGGCGAGAAATCGAGCAGACGATCTTGAAAAATAAGGTAACAAAACTTAAATAGTACGCTAAAGAAAATTCAAATTATCGTCGAGAACTTGTCAAAGACTATTCTAATTACCCAAGCCATGGACCAAGAACCTTTGGTCAACTGAATTCAATTGAATTCATAAATGGGCTAGCATTCGACAACTTCACACAGGAAGTCAAGCATAGTTCATGTAATTAAAAAAAAGTAAAAATATCCTGTTCCTGTCCATCTGAAATTAAAATTCGTTTCAGAGATTAAAAGATTGTACTCATGTTGCTCGATCATTCTGATTCTTGTTTGCTTTTCAAAAAGTTCAGTTTCGTTAATGGCTTTCAACTTCATCACAAAATCCTAGTCACTCTGAATGAATTGCACCAACGTTAATTAAACTGATATTGTAGGACAAATTCAACATTCTGAATTGTCAAATATCTAATACTGTATTTTCTTCAGAGAAACAGGTGTCGCCACAAAGCCGCGATAATTAATCGAAGTGATGGTCGATATTTAAAACTAAAATACTCTAAACATTTGCACTGAAGTGTAAAAAGGACGGTGTGATGACGACAGGCAATGACGTGGGCAAGTGTGGTTCATATAACCAGCCAGAGCGCTGCAGTGGTCCGAGGCTAGACTCGAGTTGGGGGGTGGACTAGGACTCGGAAGTCATGAACTCGACTACAACACTGATCTAACAAACCAACAGAAGTGGAAATTTACTCCGCAAAGATATGGAGAAAAGGAGAAAATTGCAGCCCGCGAAACTCATGCTCACAGTGGGACTGGGACAAGTTTCATAGGGTTGCCAAAAGACCAAAGGTATTGCTTGTCAAATTTTTGTGTTCAGTACTGATCAGCTGGGAACCAGCCACAGAAAACGCACGCTGAATAAAAATCGGTCTTAAACGTGCGTTTAAGACCAGCCCAAGAGAATGGACGTGACTAATGCCCTCGCCCGCGGCTCGGACATTGTCAGTGTTCGTTCTCCTCAGCAAGGTCTAACGTTAGTTTAAGACCGGCCAAGCACATTATTCCCATTCATAAATACCTTTTGATCAGAGAGTCAAAAGAAGTCAACATAGGATGGATTTCCAACGATATTGTTCGAAAGTTTTACTAAGTTTGGGAAAATGAAAGTCTTTCATTTTCCCAAACATCCCGTCCATATTACGATAGGCCCTATATTCCTTGTATATGGACTTGGTCTTTATAATGGAGATCAATGGACTTGGTGTGCGCGTGACGCGGTCTACGTGTTGCCTGGCACACAGTCTCATAACTAATAAGGATAATTGTAACTAATAATAACTGTCTCGATTCCAGGGCCGTTTTTCAATTCTCAACTTCGGCTCCGTTTTAGGCTTCAACTTTTTTTTTTTTACTGCCTGACTTTGAAGCTGTAAGAGCACTAATTAGTTAAATAGTGCCACAAAACATCAAATAAGAGGCAAGAGAGCAAAAAAACTACAGTAATCCAATTTGATTTAAACGCTTCAGGCCCACAATTGGGGATTGGTTTCTGGGACGAAGCCTGAGACGGAGACGAAGTTGAGTATTGGAAAACGGCCTGGTAGCAGCGTGTGTTTTTACACAGCGGGCATTATCACTTCTCAGCGGGCACTTTAATACACGGTCAAACTTGCACGTTGTTGAATCGGCCCCGAGTTTAAGTGCACCCCCAAGCGGCAAAAGAAAGACAGATGGTTGTAAGTTTTCCAAGCGGGTTCTTGCACGCGTTCTTCGTGTACGCAAAGACCATACATTAAGGAAGAAATCGCTACGCGTACTCAGCGTGCTCCGCGTCAAACGCGTAATTGATCTCCATTATAAACGCGCGCGTATGCGGTGAGTACGGAAAACACGCCCTCATTTTGTTGCGCTCTGAGTGGGTACAGGGAGACTGTCTGAGGTATTTATGAATGGCTGATAAATTGCTGCTAACCCATTTGTGCTTAGGTAATTCTTTTTGCTCGGCGAATATGCTAAAGAGCTCTTTGACATTGACGCCAGGTGATACATGCTAACCTTTACTCTAGAACAGGTAGATAAAAGTTTTGGGATGCAACAATAGACCTTCAGGCAAAATAACTGTCCAAAAAATCATTTAGTGCGAGGAAATTTTCTCTGATACCTCCTACTTTTATCCCCACCGCAGTATACCATGATGCAAAGTGTTCCATTCACTGAGCTTCGCACAAGATGTCACTCATCACATTTTAAGAGAATATATTTTTGTAAATAGGAGTACCATTCGAAAACAGTTTTCTCGAGAAGATTTGCCAGTTTGTCATTTAATAGCTTGAAAAGTTCCCGCAGTTTCACACGGACAGTTTGGTTTATGTTATGGGGGTTGGTAGCGCTTGCCCTGAGGAATACAAGTCAATACAGGCTTGTTAAACACTGAAATCAGTCACTAAACTGTTTTAGAAACGTCTCGTTTGAAGGACTCGATTTGTGGCAGGTGAGGTGGTGGGTTTCGGAGGAAAGACTCACCGTCAATTGCGAGGCACCTCTCGTGGGTAATAAATCCGTCACTGGCCAATAGATGGGCTCTCTGACCAGGCGATATACTTCTACAAGTCACTGTTACATGCTGCCATTTTCGGACAAGACAACCTTCTTAAAGTAAGAGGATGCCAGGCTTCTTTTTACCAAGTCTCTTGAAGTTGTAAAGTGAAAGCTCGCTCGACAGGATCCCTTATGGTCGTGATTATCTTAATTTGGTTAAGGTATTTTGCTTATCCGTCTCATCCTGTCTTTGTGCAGATAGTAAATTGGAGTTGTCTACGGTTCGTTTTGGCTCGTTGTGTTGTAGGCCACAATAATGCCATGGTTTTGGATCCACAACCTTGATCCCGCGTGCGTCATGGCCACGTCAGGATGGTACAAGGGGCATGTTTCAGATTTCATTAGACCTGTGATATGGAAGGCAAATCACACCCTAACGACCCCAACCAGGACATCTATGTCTCCCCTTTAAATTTGACATTCCTTCATCTTCTTATGACAAAAATCCAACTAAACACCTGCTTACTTTCAAGACCCCGCTTTTTTGTCGGTAACAAGAACTCAGATATTAACCAAAAATTCGACAGGCAAAGTATATTTCGTATAATATTCCACTTTATTTAAGCTCATTAAATGCTATTTATAGTCAACTGGATTTCTTTTACAAAAATACAATATGGTGCATAATATAAGTACAATGATTTCAACGTTGAGGGGTACAGAATTCATTTAGCACGTAGATTTACCAATACCGTCATTTCTTATTATGCTGTCGCGTGTCAACTTTGATACGTCAGTCGATGGCTCTTTTTTTCAATTACTGACAGGTGTATGACGTGCCTTGGAAAACAAAAACTTACCACAATGCAACCCATTACATGAACATTACATGCCCTGCTATCTTTGGAGTTGAAGTCGGTCTATGAGGAACATTTATAATCACAATCAAAACAAAACATGACAATGCAGAAAACCGTCCGCAATATATGTTACAACCCAACATAAGCTTTGCTCTACAGAAAATCAAATGCAAAAATCCAATAATCAAATTTAATTTTGTCACAAATCACAGCTGGGCAGATACAGTCAAACTACCTCTGGCATAATGAAAGTTTTTTATCATGATTAATTCCAAATTTTGTCAAATCATGGTTGAGTTACTTCCTTCAAAAGTCACTTTGCGTTTAATCTTCAGAGCAACATAGCTGGGAATAGATAGTTCCTTCACGACACCCGTTGTGGTTTGATTGGAAATTGAAGACGAATAAACCAGTGTACCGATTGCCTACGCTGGGACGAATACGGCCAAGAAAAGACACGTCTGATGGTTGTCGGGTTGAGGGGAAAGAAATCGGATTAAATGGGGTAACACACTGACCATTATTAGCACTTGGTTCAATTGTTTCTTTTTCATGTTCTAATCAACGTACTGTCGTTCCATTCCTGCTAATACAACAGCAACCTTTCTATCTGAACCAACTTCGTCATACGAAAATGTCTACTAAACGGGGATATTTCGGAGAAACCAAGAAACAAATGTACATAATGAACGGATATGACTGCGCTGTAAAACGTTATGAATATCCGGTGCATCTGTTTTCTATGCAAAGTGGGATTTGCACCAGGACATATTTTAAGTTCTAAGCAGAAGATTAACCCTATATGACGCTGAGCAGAATCGGCAGAAAATCAATCCTAAACAATATTACTTTGTCTGGTAACCGTAACTCCGTTGTTGGGAGAAACTTTTGTGTGGGCAGAGCCATTCCATAATACATGTACGATACATGTATTTGCCTACATCCCCAACATTAAATACATGTACATGACATGATCGAACATAGCGCTAAGGCTCCTTATGAGAACTTGTGAGTCAATTAGATTGTAGAACTTGGGTTAGCCTTTAGTCAAAGAGATCGCGGCAAGGTCCCAGAAATCTACGCGAGGTATGCATACTGCTTGAAAGAAGACTAACGCGCAATTTGATTCACTACTGGTCCGTTCGCAGCGACAGCTTGCACATGAGATACACTCGTCTCTTATCGAGCCTTGGCTATAGACTAAGCATAGGGTTCGATGAAAACCAGTTTGCATCTGATAAAGGAGTTGGTTGATACTAAAGTCTAATAGATTGCTAAAATGAAGACCAGATTAAAGGTTTGTATATTTGGAAAACATCTTTCCTCAACAAGTCCCAACGGCTGAATAGCACGATTCTGTTTAGTTTAGGATTGTAGGTCCCAGCTAGGCCTTCCACATTTTCATGTGAGATTTCCTGTCCTGAAACACAACACATAGAGCCATACGGACCTTGGAATTGATGGATTTGAGCAGACTTCTTGTTAAATAGCCTGCAGATTTTTGGGGGGAGGGGAGTAAACACTGAAACAGAATATTACAATTGACAAGGGAAACTTTCCACAAGGGCAGAAGCAAAATAAACAAAAACCAATAGCAGCCACACATATCATCTGTCCACTATAAAGATTTGATTGATCTCCACTGTAATACAAACGCTTCCGTCCCTCGCAAAAAAGAGTCTTACAACACATTGGAGCCGAAGATGTTACACCTAATATACAGGTATAGACATAAGATTATACATAGATTACAAACATATACAAGAGCTAGACATTTCTTTTATTTATATTTCATTAGCGTGTAGTTTACTCACATAAACATTACAAGAATGAGACAACTTCTCACGCACCTACGACACCGGAAATTCTTTCCGTGATGTACAAGGTAGTTGGAAACATTCAATATTTATATTGAAGAGAAAAAGGTATGATAACATCTAAACCAGTCAAAACATGATCTTGAAAAAAAAGTATGAATTGGTATTAACATTGAAAAAAAGGGAAAATGAGAATGTATTACATCATGTCACATACCTTCACGGCCAGAAGCAGCTTACAACCTCCGAGCACTGGATACAAAATATTATGACACCTTTTAAATCTACATGGATGGGCTGCCTGCTACCAAAACGGTGTAAAATTCCCATCTATTTCAAATGACAATGTGCAGTATAAACTTATAACGTAAATTAAAAAATAATAGAGCTATGGTGTCCCTGAATGTGGGTGGAGTTTACTACGAATGAAGATTAAGACACACCCTATCACTGTGTGAAATCCACTGGACCAGAGACTGAATGAATGACAGCTACAAACCCCGATGCCCAAATACAAGCACACAATATTTTGTGCAATTGAAAATCTCTGACTTCAAGGATTAGGACCATCATAAAAACTCAGGAAAAACCTTTTTTTGTGTCAATGGGTGCTTTGCAAATAACTGCCAATGTATAAGAAGCCCCGAGCTGAACCAAAAGAGGGTGCTATTTTCCTAGAAACAGTGGCTCCTTTGATGCGAACTGCACTTCGCTGGTTCAAACCACTATGAAATGCACGTTACGGTCGTGTCGCTACTAATAAAATTAACACGCCACAAACATGGCTCTTTTCAACCGATGAGAGGGTGCTTCGGCTCAAGGCGGATTATTTGATGCTGCCGAAAAGGGGCAAAATGCTTAGAATCTTTTCATTTTGAGCTTGAAACCAGTTCCAAGTACATCAGACTTATGTAACTCAGGGCTGGCAACCAATCTTTGCTAAGAAAAACTTTCTATGCTTACTCAAATGAATCCAACCGTGACCTACACATGCACAGGGACTGGGCTCATGCTTTGTAAATTAATCTTTCCAAAGGGGATATTCTCAAGGCATCTTGAAAGGTTGTGATCAAAATGTCATGAACAGTGATAAAAACAAAACGATTCTGGGGCTGAAGAAAACAGTATCAAATAGGAAATACAAGGGTGTAATTTTATTGAACAAATAGGAAATACAAGGGCGTAATTTTATTGAACAAATAGGAAATACAAGGGCGTAATTTTATTGAACAATTTACACTCAAATTTGATATATATTGCACTTTCAATACCACAGAAACACTAACAAACACAGCCAGATGTCAACCATTTTACACTGTCATGACAAATGGAACAACGCAGTCATAATATATTAATGAGAAAAAATACACGTCCCTTCTACATTTTACATCAAAACGTTGGATTCTGTTACCTTTTCCTTTCTGTCATTGTGTCAATGGCCATGATACATATATATATATACACTGTAAAACATCCACATGTCTGTCACAGGTCAAGTCAGAGAGCCAATATCAATCTTGGAAATCTGAAGTAGCAACCGAATTGGGCGCCAATTACTGGATTGAAGAAGCTACTGAACCACAACATGTTGGACCTTTCATTACCTTCAACAAACAGAAGACAAGGTCATATCTAATTCCAAATGCACTGCGTAAGACTGACCCTAACAAATCCCAAAGGAAAAGCAAACACTCAAAATCAACTTGAAAACTAATCTTGTTTCGGGGCGCTGCACACATCCTTTCGGGAAGTGATTTCCATTTTTTCCACAACTCAAATAACTCAGTGCCAAGCAGTTTTCTGACTTATGAAGTAAACATCTTCTAACAGGAGCAAAAACTGAAACTGATGACTTGAGCCCTGTGTATTTCAACTTATCTCCCCAAGGGCAAGTCTTGTGCAGTGCCTAAGGCTTTCAGAAGAATGAAGAGACATCCTGCAGCCTGCCTCCCTCTCCCAATCAGCTTGTGAAGTGTTCTAGCCAAGGCTTTGGATATCGTAAACCAATACCCCCTTATCCTAGAACATGTTATGCAAATTATGCAATTTATTGTTTTCACATTTTCCTAAACTGGAATAAATTTTGAATGGAGATAGCTCAAAGCATGTTTATAAAAGCTTTAGTAACACTTGAAGCAACCCCCCCCTCAGATGAATAACGTCATACTCTGCCCTCTCATTTCAAATTCTAAGGTACAGTTTTTCTGTCTTACACAGATCTTCATTACAATCTAAAGCACCCATGCATCCTACCTTAGACACGCCCATCTGCCATGCCCTGTGTTACCTCCCGTTGGAATTCTTAGAGCTGTTTCGCTTCAGACTTCCCACACTCCGATTCTTTGGCACCTGATTGGCTGAACTATGGCGCAGCCGGCCGACACTGGGCACACTCAGTAGGGACTCATTGCACTCACCATCGGCTGGTGTACTGCTCGTGCTCATCACAGACAAAGATGACATAGAACTGGACAGGTTGGATGTTGTCAGAAGGGGGTGATGGAGACTCAAATTGTTGCTACTAGCCTCATCTTCAACACCTTGCTGAGTCTGGCCAATGAGGGCGCCAATCAGCTTAACAAAGAGTTCAGCATTGGCTCGGATTTGAGCCTTCTGCACAAAGGTCAGAGGAAAGACGTCATGAATATACATTAGGTTTAATGGAAAAGGAAGTTACAAGTATGCAAATGTGATGAGCACAACAAAGGTAAAAGAACTCAGTCATGAGTAGTCCCAATATGAAAAAAATGAAGTCATGAATAATGATGGTGCACAAGGTATGAAGCAAAAGGCAAACCTTGAATTTGCAAAGCACAAAAAAGATGTACCAGATGAAGGGAGTACACTCATTAATTCTAGTCACTCACTTAACTTGATATCACTTGGAAGTTAATAGTACAATGTTCAACGGGAGCATTTCAGAGGATTGAGCCAAGTTTTGAGAAACAATACCTACAATGGCGTTTGAGACCAGGATTCTTGAAGTCACTCTTACCTGTGAGAATTGACTGGAGAATCTCCAGAGCCCACCAAAGCCGATACCTTGCAGGTATGTAGTATGTTGTTGAGCCATCTCCTCGCTAGCTAAGGTATTCTGAACAATGCTCTGTACGGCACTCAGTGTGCTTTGGTTATGACAACTCTTGAGAATGCTGACAATCTTGGAGTCCAACAACACATGCCTGAAAGGAATTGCAAACGAAGTGAACATTCTGACAACCATATTCCTGTGCAGGGTGAAAACTAGCTGGGAACCAGTTACGTGCAATACGCATTCCACACTGATTTGGCTGGTAAACAAGATTTGCTGAACAGGTATTTTATGGGCTTTTTAACCCCATAAACTTGGTAGTACATGGTTTCTACGCAGAAGTACAAAAAGCTACATAAGCTAGTTTTGAGAATGAGTATAAAGAATTTCTAGCTTGGTAGTGTGTATGGTGTTCATTAGGTTACCTCAAGAATTCAATAACCAGATCCTAGGGAAGGTGACTTTGTTCCCAGAAATGACACAATCGAAAGAAACTGTTGATGATGCTCTCTGACCTACTTCTGATGGCTGAGGCAGGGCACAAAGCATACATTTTTGTGCTTAGCAAGAATCGGACGAGAACCAGTAGCCAAGAAACACACAGTCTATGACAATTTGGCTGGTAACCAGTTTGTGCTGAGCAGATACATGTATATTTCCATGCTTAAAGGCTCTGTGATACTAGATTCTGTGTTGCACAAGAAAATCACGCAGAATGCGCCAGGCCAGTTTTCAGCTGAATGGGCACAAACTCATAATGCCTCCACAGAGACGAATGCAATGAGTAGGGCCGCCAGGTGGAAATGGTACTTAACAGTCTTCTATTACCAGGAATATGTGGAACTCACACAACGGAAGGTAGAGTAATGCACAATGAGTTTATGAGATGGGTTAGGTCCTATCCAGAATAGGTTTCCAGAACTACGGCTACATGTTTCATCAAACATATTTGCGACCAGTGAAGATCCAGACCTAGCCATAAGCATGTGACATGGCCTTGCATTGCACTTACACAATGGGGAACACTTGTGGGAATACTTGGCTTGCTTCTGCTAGATACTCATACAGAATACCTGCTTCGGCTTCATTCAAATTACGCACCAAGGTAGCCTGAAATGACAACCAAAGCAACAAGTCAGCTTTGTTATCAAACGCAATCCTTCCTCTAAGCTTATGGTTGTTACCGTAGTTACAGTGATGCTGCGTTAGGACTGCTGGTATCTACATACTGTTTTCAAGTAAACACGGTTGTTTAACCACTTGCTGCCAGGCGGTTTGAAAATGCAGTGCATGTAATCAGGACTTTTTCAAGATTTTCAGTTTTCAAAATTCTTCAAAAATTCATCACCATATTTAATTGATGTTTACACCCACACGAAGGACTGTCTGGTGGCCACTCTAGTCCGACAGACAAAATCTATTGATGCCCGAGTATTTCAGCCAGGCCTGCAGCCTTGTAAAAAGAGTCCAAATCCAAGTCTTTTCAATAGGGGCCAGATTAGCGTGCAGGGGTGCTGTGTGGCTCATTGCTGCAGTGGTGGAGTGCTTTTGTCCCCAGTGGTAATCCGCTCGCTCTAAATGCCCCAAGCCCTGGTATACTGTTTCAAAACAGGGCTGGATTATCTCCACTATTGAGAGAGAAAAAAATGTCAGTAATGCCCAGCAGCCTGGTCTTTTGTTCCGAGTACGGACTTTTGTTACAAGGCCCAATTCCCTTTGTCCGATTTCGGAGACTCCAGCCATGCATATAAACACACGGTGTCTGAAACTGGAGTCCCTGGCGGCAAGTGGTTCAACAATTCTTCCAGAGATGCTCACGAGAATAGTCATGAAAGATAGGTAATGAATCAACCGTTCGTTAACCAACAGTTTTTCAATGAACAAGCTTATTGTAAGAGTGACGATACAACTTACCATGACAGTAAGCAATAATGCTTGTATTAATGGGTCCGTCAACACCTCCTCATCAAGTAGTACATTCTCTGAAGGTGTGGAGACTTTCCGTTCTTTCCTCGCTCTAGGCACGACAATGTTACCACTGCTTTGCTTCCGTTCTGTCCTGGCCCTACGATCACTTGAGGCATCAGTTCCTTCGGCTGCTCGTCTGGAGGACGAGGAGGATGCAGATAAAGACGTTGAGGCTGAGGACGGCATGGATAAGGCTCCATGAGACAGATCCAAGCTTTTGTAGGGTTTCAGCTGCATCTTGTCGGCTGGCTGTCGCTGCAGTGCCGAGTCCAGACTGCGTTGGGTCTTGATGGCACTGGCGGCTGCGATGCTAGCCACGACAGTCTTCTGAGGTGACCGAGTCTTCTTGGTGGGCGATTTGGGCATCTGAATGGTGCTGACAAAGACAGTCTGCTCCAATTCAGTTTCGCTGAGGTGTTGGCAACCACGTCTTATGCTACATCGGCTGCGGACTTCCTCAGAGAAGGGCAAGAGGGCAGCAAGATAGGACACACTCTCTACATTGACATCAAACATATCTCTGCAAACAGTAAGAAAACTACCATAAGGGTTGATACAAAACTTTCCAACTTAATAGACAGTGTCATCTGAAAGCGTCTGAATATCAAAGGAAAATAATGGTTTTATAAAAGTGAATCACAAGCAGACCGGCAAAATTGCAAGAAGGGGCAATTGTAATACAACACCATTAAATATTTAAAGTAAATAACAACATCACAGGCAACGTGTACCACTTTTAAGTAAACAAAAAATTACAAGGAATCCTTACACACTGACAGTCCATACCCATGATAGGCGTCATCAAGATCCTCCATAACGCTCTATTACTGTGGATTCAGTACATGGTTAATTCTAAGAGTCAGGGACTTGACTTACACATTTCGATGTTTGGAGACAATTTCTAACATCATATTCAGTATGCGAATGGTTCTGGAAACTGTGGTGTTGCTTGGGTGTCTAAAACCTAAGCAGGAAGAAACAACCAAAACAAAATTTAAAATATCCATCCAAATGAACCAGTTCAATGCTTGTGTAACGGAATACACTCCTTGATCAACCAATATTTGTACTTTTCCTAGAAAGTTTTTCTCACCAGCTACTGCCATTCAACACAGACTCCCTAAGTCTTCAAGTCTTTAACTATCATAACTTCCACATCATACCAAACCCAGAAGTTCAACTATACAAACTGACATACGTTTTTTTTTAAGTGGGTGTATGCACTATGCAGGAAGTATACAAGATCAAACAAGTCCATCTAGAAGGAGTCAGACGTAATTGAAGCACTTTTAACAGCCTTGTCATACCTTTGAGAAGATGTCCTACCAGGGCAAAGTTGAAGTTGAATTTGAAGCTGAGGCCTACAGCATGGTCCATCTGCTTGAAATGCCACTCTTCCAAGGGACGACGAACCTCCATCAATACCTCTTCAGGGCTCTACCATATTGACAGGAATGTTTCAAGCATCAAGGATTTCTGTCAACCTGAAGCCTTGCACTTAATTAATGAAATTTTCCCCCCAAAATAAAGCATATCAGAAAATGTGACAAATGGACAATGTGAGAAAGGCCAAGTTTGATTAGTGGTCATATGTCAACCACTGTTGATTTGCCCAGTATCCAGGGTATATTTAAATTAATGCATAGGTAACCAGGCAAAATCAACCAATGGTAGACAAACTGGACTTCAGCAGAAATCTTGCTCTGACGGCAGTGCACAAAAACATGCAACTGCTAGTCAAACTTCAGGGGATGGACAAACAGACACTGGCACACACACATTAGGATTTCTATTGTTGCAATCTAAGTTCATTTCAGTACAGCTTCTGAAGTTAGCATGCTTTCTGAAGAGAAAAACCTTGATTGTCTCAATAAAATGTCTACACATTCAGTTGACACTGGGTTAAGCTCATTGCAAGTATGCCTACCGCCAACAATTTCAATTCTTCCATTTGCCATTCAAGCTGGAAATTTAAGGATTTGGATCAACACAAGGAACTTTCTCAAACAGGTCATTTTCCTGAGTACTTCTGGCGAGAAAAAACTTGCCACTTACAACTTCATTGAATACACCTTGCTCATCTAACGTGTGTAGATTCTGTTCCAATAACGCTAGTCCAGCTGCATAGAGGGACACTTCATCGAGCTGAAGCACAGCAATGGCTACCCAGAAGAGAAGCTTGTGTAGTGGTGAACTCTAAAGGTCAGAGGTTAAAGTATTAAAGGTCAAACTACATGCTGCATTTTGAAGGATTCAATTTTGATGGGGCTTTAGCGTTTATGTGTGGCAAAGGCTGGGATATTTTCAACTGGTTTGGACATTAAGGCAGATATGAAGCCCTGGTTTAAAAAATAACGTCAGTGTTCAAAGTATTTTGTAAATCTTTCTGTGTGGTATGTGAAATTGCTGAATCTTTTTCTGACATGGTCTGATGTTGCACTTACTTTCCGTAGCAGGGGTTGTAGTCTGGTTAACGCTATGACGATAGACTCAATCAATAGTAAGCTACTAGGGAGCTGAGGCGGTTCCCAGTCCTTGACAGCATGTACAGCTACGGCTAACATGTGCAATAGATGCTTAATCTGTACTGGATCAACTTGCTTGCTGATGCAACCAAAGACGACCATGGCGCGGGGCTGGAGAGCTGGGTTCTCACAGAAGGCAAACCTGAGGACCATTACAGGATGAGGAAATGTTCACAGTTGAAATGGGAACATGCCAGAAAGCCTCAGCAAGCACACAACCACGGGGTTTAGAGGTCTAGTATTCAAGAGGTCGTTGGTTCCATTCTCATCAAAGAAAGCAACCAAAGCGTGTTGAGGGTTGGGGTTAAGGAACTTTAAAAAACAATTTTTTTTTGTTTATAAATAGATCAATTTACAGTCTCATCACTTTATTTGAATGTTTACGAATGATGACATTAGAGAAACAAAGAACAATCATCGACCATGCAGCTCCAAGAGAAACGTTGTACTGTGTTTTCAAAGTTAAAACAATCAGCTCAAATCAAGAAAAAGTTTCATGGCTGAACAATATAAAGTTGCTTCACTACGATGGTGAAGGGTAAAACCAAATGGTGAACTTACATCAGTCTGACTAAAATTTAGCTGCATAATCGTTCTAACTAGATTTGTCACGGTACCTATACTCTAACTCATAAACAAATTGAATGAGTCCCCAGTGACTTACTCTCTTGTGCGCTTGTGCCATTCTGCCAGCCACTGGCAGTCAGGAATGTCTCTCATGCAAGCCTGAGCAGTGAGAAGCAGAGAAGAACTTTATGAGTTGGCTCTCAATTGGTTCTTGTCAAGGAAGAGTGGGGCAGAGAATGGTCAGTGCTGTTTCCATAGTAAACCAAAAAGATCCAAATTGTGATTTGTTTCTTGAGTTATGGCAAAGAGAAAACCCTGATTCATTCACCACCACCCACTCACCTCCACCCGAGCAACCTGCCTCATCCTGTCTACAATCAGCATCAAAAGAAAGACAAATAATCATTGCATCTGAAACAGCACATAATAGGCCAGGCAACTGAGCAGATGTCAGAAGCATTTGTCTATTAATAGCATTGGTAATGATAGCAAGATTTCCTTAAAAAAAAAAAGGCAGGATCTAAATAATGGAGAGGCTATTTACATGAAGAACAATTCACTTCAGAAGTGGAAGGACAGTCCTGGAGAAACTCTAGGGGAGTGTTTCAGAAAATAAGGAAGAAGAAGCTGACTATAGTGGGACTTCAAAACACAAAGTTGGCAGAAGTCCAAAGCTGAAGAATGCATCCTATTAGCATCTATATCCCATCAAACACGTTAAAAGTAAACACTCCCCCCTCCTCCCAATGAATGCTCCTCCCCCCTTCTCACCTCCATGATCTCCAGCAGCGCATCAGTGACTGTCTCCAGTGAGCTAAGTGGCATGATTTCAAGGTTTTGGCTCAGTGGCCGTTCACGGTAGCTGGACCTGAACGCTGTAACGGCTGCAGATTTAACTTTACTGATACCAAACATTCCGTAGAACTTGGGCAAGGAGAACTCCGTCAGACCAAGGTCAAGAACTTTCTTTATCTCTTCTGTGGAAACAAGAAAACATTTTTAGTTGAAAGTGATATCATTTAAAAAGAAACAAACCAAATTTATAAAAATACAAGTTGGTGAAAAGTTACAAATAGACGTATATGTTACTAAATGCCCAGAGTGCCGTTTCAAAGAAATGAGACTTCAAACAACACTTCAAGAGGTGCCCTTCCATAGGGATTGTGACCAAATAATTTGACCACTTGCTACCCCGTGGAAAACTTGTACTTCACAAGTAAGCTTAATAAACAGTGACATGAATGTCAAGAGATCTAGACTAGGAGATTTGCCGAGGTATTTACCGCTGAATTTGAGTTGTGAGCAAGTCCTGAGGGAATGTAGAATATTGATGACTAGACCGTGGATAGAGGCTCGGAGAGGTAACGGTCCCGTAGAGATCAGCAATGGGATGATGTGAAACAACGCAGGCAAGTTATTGGCAACTGTCAAATCAAAATCATCCAATCAAACCAGTTGAAACAAATCATCTTGAGATGGGTCTCAGAATATCAAAATTGAAACAAACTTGTAACATTGAACACTTTGCACATGAAACCTTGGTATACCAAGAATATTTCAATGGCAATTGTTACCTATTGAACTGAATCGGTTTGGAAGTTTAACAGCTCACACTTAAAATGGAAGTGATTTGAGATTGGCCTTGTCACTGTGGCCATACACTAGCTGACATACAAGGTTCTCTGTTCTCAAATACCTTGCCCTTTTGAGACTGGATCATTACAAACACACATTTGGAAAAGTCTGAAAACCCATGAAAATCTCAGGAAGCTGTTTATACAGAACAAAGTATGATGTCATTTTTGAACCAGACAGCGTAGTGTAACGAATGGAGTAGACACAGGTCTTGGTTTACACGCTGGTTCTTCCCTATTCAATAGCAGAGTGTTTCGCCTTGATTTCTGACAACAAAATGAACTGTAAGAAGAGGTCTCGTCTTGACTGTTACCCCAAAAGGTGAGCAACTTCACTGACTCACCATCGAGGCAATTATTGAAGGATAACATGAGCAGATATCTGGTCAGAATAACAATGTCATCCCACATGAGATGTTTCTCTAGTGTGGGTGTAGGAGACAGACAAGTCTTCTCAAGAATCTGAGGATGAGAGATAAGACAACGCCAAGAAATGGCATCCAGGTAATACAAGTTGTCCACGGCAACAACTGTACTTGGAAGCAGGCTTGAACAAAGTTGCATCCAAATTAAACAGAATCAATAGAGATGGAGCAAATATATTTCTTTGACAAGCAACTCAATTCAACGGAGTTCAAACTCAAATCAACATTAATTTCATAATGCCATGAAAAATAACCCAACATTAATAACAGCGTTTACTAACCATCATCCGAAGGACTATTAAAATAGTATACTTTAATGCCAAGGATGAAACATTTTTTCCATCACTTCGATTTGACTGATCAAATTATTGCTTGCTAACTGATGTTTATCACAGGATTAAAACGTGAAGAATGGTAATTGGAACAATTGTCTTATCTTTTCCTTCTCCTACTTCATACAAAGTCATTTATTAAGGAATCAAGCCAATGTGGAGTTAGTCTTGATATCAAGCAGTTCCACAGCCTACCTTGCAGAGTCTATCAATGACTTTAGCAGAGACTAGTTTGACATTGGCAGATGCTAATGCTACAGCTGTGTCTGCCATGACCTCAGTCCGTGGTTGACCCCCTCCAGTCAAACCCGTCTGTAATTGAACAGTCACCTGAGGACAAAGGTCAAAATGGCCATCAACAATGAATATGCACAAGAAAGCAGAAACAAAAATTCCACATGCAACGAAATGGCTGAAATGGACAGAGACATAAACATTTCCACTAGCAACAGACCTTGATGAAGCTGTCCAGTACGCAATCAATCAGATCTTCCACCTGTCCAATGTTACCCCAGACTTTAGCCTGTATGGATGGGTACATCTGCTTCTCATCAATGGTCATATTGATCAGCTTGTCTAGGACCACAGACAGTTTGTAACGTTTCACCTCGTCTGATCGCTTGCAGAACCTGCCAATCAAAAATCTCTGTTAATTCAGTATATGTGAGCATAACTAGGCTTTCCAATGAGTCACAGTTCGGTCAAAAGCACTTCCATCCCTTTGTATTATTAAACGGTTATTTCAAGAAATAGAGTTAGTTATCAATAAATGTTGAATTCTATGCACAAATGCCCCCCTTGGTCTCAGTAAAAGATCACTTGATGAAGGCTGGTTCACTATTAAATAAGCAGAGATTCTTCAATAAATATAGTAAAACAGTGTGCCAACCAAGCAGAGGGCCGATTGCTGAACACAGTTTTTTTCTTTTTTCACGTTTCTGATCGGAGGGTTATTCAGTTTTCTAATGTGCAGAAATACTCTAAGCACAGCGTCAAACGGATTGGCTAGTTAGCTGAGCCCTTTTCTTTACAACAAGTGATAGAGTTCTTGTGCGCAGACTAAATGCCAAACACTCTCTCTACATTGAGTGAACCTTCCTGTTCACTGCTAATGATGCAACTGCTCTCTTCATAAATGCACTCCATTTCATTGTAATTTAAAGCATGATCTTAAAGCATGAGAGGCTCACATGCCCTACGTACCCTCATGTCTCTAAACTGAACTGGCTGAATAGCACCCTCGCTTGTGCATGCACTGAACCATTAACCCCTGTGTGAATATATGACTGACCTTGTCAGGTTCGGCAGCCATGGCGTCATGTACTCCAGACACAAATGCTTCAGCTCAATGGTGATCTTGCTGAAGCAGGTGATGCATTCTTCAAGGAACTGTCAACGGAAAAAGGTTCACTCTAAAAAAACACCGCTTCAAACCTTCTCTCATAAAAACAAAATTTGAGAAGATTTTCACTTTTCTAAAGGTGTCTGAGTTTTCGAAAATGGAAATCAATCTCTTTACCTCCAAGGTGAGATGTGGTTCGTTTGCAGCCAGTGTTTGACTGATGGAAACAATGAAGATGGTGTTATTGGCTGGTATGCAAAGGCCTGATGTCTCCAATAGCTGACCTTCAATTTTGAGGTTAAAGGTCGTAGTCAGGGCACACAGGAGGTTATAGGCAGCTGATCTCAGACACGGGTCATTGCTACCAAGATTCAGCAAAGCCTATTAGCACATCGGAAGACAAAATTACATAAGCCTTTTTGTTCATCTGGTACAGCAGTAATGAAAAATATTCAACACCAAAATCTTTCAGGCTTCACCAACAGACTTTGTTCCTTGAAAGGAATCAACTACAGCAAAGGGGCAAATGTGACAGGGCTCTACATTTTCGTATCAAATTTATGCTTTTAGATGTTGAAACTTTAAAAGTAATTCAGACAGAAACAAACTGACCAACCGATGACTTAAATTGCCAAACATAGACCAAAGTCATGGTACTTGGGAACAATTAAGGGAAAAGTTGTGCCAATTACTAAGGAAGAAATTCTTCAATCCTCACAACCAAAAACTGGGAAAGATTTCTACTGTCACCCCTTATTTTATGCGCGCTCTTTGTTTTGCTTTTGGGCAGGGGTCAAGAACATAAGTATACAGGTCAGATTTCAACCAAAGCTGTGGGGATGTCTTGTCATGATTCTCACCATGTTGAGTAGGGTACCAGGGACATCCTTGGGCCTAATCTTGGGATGAACTGTCTCAGAATCCTGGCAAAGAAAGACAACATTTCAGTAAAAAGTCAAAAATGGGGCTCATAATGAATCTTACACCATAACATTAGCGTCAAACTTTATGACCTGGCAATGATGTCTCCAGTGGCAGACACAGGCATGAGTGAACTGGGAAACATATGCATCACTTATGCATAAATTGTCTCATCTATAAATACAGTCTGGTCTCTAGGTTGGTTGCTACAGGTAGACAGACAACGCAGCGATAGTATTAAAGTAGATACTCTCATTTTTCCACCAATGAGATAGTGTTTCAGTTCAGAGTCAACACTCTTGGTATGGTATGCCACTACAAGAGCTTTGTTGTCATTGGGATGGGCTTGAGTAAACCTTCTGTGCATTTGTTTTAACTAAATTAAAACAACAAAATTAGCCTCTGAGACACCATGGAGATGCCAGCAATGCATAACTTCTATAAGCTACTTCATATTTGGTGCAAAAGTAAACGCGCACATGAAATCGTGACATCAGGTCAGATATTTGTGCTGCAAACGTTCAACACATTTCAAACTTAAATGAGTTCTGCTGCAAATGTTTTGTGATATCAAATTCACTTCCCTTTCACACCTCCTTGAAGCATACACTGGCCTTCAGTGGTAAAATAATTCTAATCAGTGTGCTTCATTCAGGAAAAACGTTTATTTTGGAAACTCCAGTTTCTGATAATTTCGAAGTCTAGAAACAGTTAACCCCTTCGCGACGGATGACGGTAAAAGCTGCCGTAAAAATTGAGATCCTCAGCCCACTTTACAGCTATTATTCTTGGCCCACGCTAAAGCGAACACAGTGAAAGAAGGCAGACCCTGGCTCTTATACATATGGTGATTGGCCTTTGTGTGTAGCCTAGAAATGAAA